ATCAATGATATTATAATCAGACTGTTTAAATAACATATCAGTAAGATTAAGCTGATCTGAACAGTATCAGATATAGAAATTATACTTTGAAAGCAGCTTCACTTATCTGACTTAATATTCTATCAAGCTCTTTGTTATCAAGAAATAACACAGATTTGTATAATTAGTGAGAACTTACACTGAGTACTTACTACTCTGAAGATAATGTTATCAGATCTTAAAGAATTCAATAATTATTAATATCTTCTGATTATGAGTATCATATCTTCTCTATATGAGTGATAACTTCTTGAAGAAGAAGATCACTGATCTTTATTCATAGTATCTTATAGACTCTGTGAAAAAGTCTTCTCTTATAGACAATTTATTATCTATTTTCTCAGAGATAATTATTCTCTGATTCTTTCAATGTTGAAAGATCTTCAGTATCAACTATGAAAAGATTTCACAGACTCTATTTCTGAATACATCAGTCTCACACTGACTGAGTAAGTCAGAGTTAAAATGATTCAGTATTATAACATCTATGAAAGCTTGTTTCAATTCTGCAAATATCTATGCAGTGTCTTGAGTGAGAGTAAACAGTTTTGTTTTTCTGTCTTTCACACTTCTCTTCAACAGATCTGTAAGAGAGACAGTAATTCATGAATATACATAGATAAATTATCTGTAGAAATTCATAAATTCTAGAAATATCTGTATCTCACAGTATATTCACAGCACTGATCAGTTCTCAATGATAAAGACTCAGCTTCTGTTCATTGAAATGCTATTCATCTTAATAATATAATCTAAGAAATCAATCTTCTGTATATAGAATGAGCATTTTTCAGTGTTTGTATAGAGTTGATACTGTCTCAAGCAACTTAATACTTCTCAAATATAAGTATTATATTCTTTCTTCATTTTTGAGAAGATTAGAATGTTATTTAAGTATACTATACAGAAGATGTTAACAAGACTCTGCAGTGTCTCATTTATATAGATCTGAAAGATGACTGAAGTGTTACAAAGATTAAAAGATAAAACAAGATATTCAAAATTACTGTACTTGATATGAAAAGTTATTTTTCAAACATTATCTTTATTAACTCTGATTCTATGATAGATATTCTGTATATTAATCTTTAAGAACATCTTTGCTTCAGATAATCAATCAATCATCTTATTAATTAATAGTAGTGAATAGTGATTCTTAATTATTATCTTATTAAGACCTCTGTAGTCTATATATAGATATAGTCTATCATTCTTCTTAAGTATAAAGAGTATAGATGTCTCTGCTGAACTCTTTGATAAATGTATTCAGTTCTTTGATTGTACTTCTTCAAGATATTTATATAGAACATTCAATTTCTTTACAGATAAGTTGTAAAGAGATCTGTATAATACTATTGCATTATCTTCAAGATAAATCTTATATTATATCTTGATATCAGAAAACTTCACTGCTTCTCTTTCTGAAAAGATATTCTTAAAATCTGTAAAGAGATATTGTGTATATTCATCTTCAATAATGAATACTACTGTTAATCTTGCAGTGAGAGTAATGACTTCTTCATCTATTCTCAAGTCTCAATCACCTGCTATGCAGTATATCAACTCAATCTTTTTCTCAAGATTTTTTCAATAAAACTCTTCAGATTTCTCTATTACTATCTCTTTATCAGTGAGATAATATCATTATATCTGAGTAACTCAGTCAATAAGAGAATTATTTTCTCTTAATTATAAAAGATCTAGAATAATATTCTTAGCTATAATATTAACTATATGAAGAAGCAGACTGCTCTTCTTAAAGATTTCTTCTGAGTCTGTGACTACACACTTTGCTTGAATTATGTTAAAATAATAATATTTCATTTCATCTGTAAATTTTATATAATCTGACAGATCTATCTTCTTTCAACTCTTCATCAAAGAAAAGAAATAGAATATGAAGTTAATATCTGTTCTGAAGTTGAGTAGACATCTTACTGATATCTTCTCATTCAGAGTATGCATTGTAATTATAACATGAACTCAGAGATATGAGAATTGTCAATTCTTTTCTTTCTCTTCTTTATCTTTCACAGATACATTTATCAGAAGAGAAGTTAATTTTAAGAAGATATCTTCTCAGTTTCTTCTCTTCTTCAGCTTCTTACAATCACTGATATAGTAATTATCAGCTCTGCAGTTAAAACAGAGATCTTTATCAAATCTTTTTTAATATTTTTTTACAGTGAGTGAAGAATCAGAATACTTGAAATTCTTCTTTACTTTCTTCACACTGAAGCTGTCACAGCACTGTTTAGATCTTATTATTAATTACTTAGAAGAGATCTTATTAATCTTTTTCTCAGAGAATTGATTATTTAAATAGATCTGAAAAGTCAGGTTGACAAGCTCAGTGCAATTAATTGATAAACTCTGATATTATAATATCATTATCTGCATCTTATAAGTCAGCTTCATAAGATAAAGCTGTGTTTTTAATTGATTCAAATTATCAGTTAATTTCTCTCAATATTCTTCAAATCTTATATTGAAATTGAAAGAATTCTCATTATCTTATTAATATAATAAGTTAAACTACTATATCACTGTGAAGTTATAATTGTAGTAATCTTCAATTTGATCTAGTAAAAAGTTCTTGAATTCTTCTCAAGTTATGATAGTATTAATATACTCAAGCTCTCTCTTCTTAATGACTCAAGTAGTTGCAGAGATATCTTTAAGAAGATTGATAGTGTATATTACTTATATCTTATAAGTATTATACTGGCTTGAATTAAGGTGAAATTTTCATTCAAGAATACAGATAAAGCTGTGAAATTTAGATAAGATATTTCTCTTATATCTCAGAGAATCTCTGATCTTAATCTCTCTATCTTTATAATAGATATAGATGTATAGAGACTGCAGCAGTGATAAAGCAGTTGAAGAGCTTATACTAAAATATACAGTGATTTCAGAAATCTCAGATTTCTGTCAGAGTAGAGATGTACATACTTTAGAGAATGATATAGTGTTTCTCTCAGAGAGTGAGATTGAGTTGATCTTAGTACAGATATGTGAGATTATATCAGTCTGTTAAAGCTTGACTGATTTAAACATGTAATCAGATTAAGTAATTTGAATTGTAATATAACAGAACTGAAGTAGTGACTAGTCAGTGATATTATATAGAGATAATTATTTTAAGAAGCTATATAAGTAAGCTTGACTATCTTGCTTGAATAGTGAGCTTATAGACTACAGAGTTATTATGAGAATATCACAGATATAATACTTAGTATACTAAGAAGATTGTATAAGACATGCAGTAACTCTCATATATATTTCAGTAGAAGAAAAATGAATCACTGACTTCTTTGATTAGAAGTCAGTAGACTGACTGTCAGAACTATGAATTTCACATTTAATTTCATTTGATCTGATCTCATACATTTCTTGGTGTGAATCCTGCTGAGACTGGCTATCAAAAAAACATGTAAAGTGACTATATATCAGATCTTAAAATGAAACCATGACTTGAAAAAATGAGAAAGTAATTTCATTTGATCTCATTTAGTCTCATTCTTGATATAAAGTTACTATTTTTAGACATTTTAAGGTTTTTTTTAGACTATTTTTAATTTTTTAAAAAGTAACACTTTTTGATAACACTTAAATAAGATTTAAAGTCATTTAAAGTAATAAAAATAATTTAAATTGAGAAGTGAAAATCATGATTTCATTTGAAAAATGTAATAAGAGTAGACAGTAAGTCTCACTGAAACAGTATGAGACTACTATCTAATGTTAAAACTGTGTAATAAGATCAGTTAAATTGATAATAAGACTATTAAAAAATCTGATTCTGATCTCAGACATAATCACATAATCAGTCTAGAAGTCAGCATCTAGCTATTCTATATAGATAATGAGCAGATACTCTTCTCTCATTTCATGAGTAAGAATAGCTAGAGTGATACCTCAGCAGTATCTCATTATCAAGAAAGAGTAATCTGCTGGCCTCATATAGAAGCAGGGTTCTCATACTCATCAATCGAATCTTTCTATGATATATTCAAATGATGTCATAAGGTAGTTGGAAACCAGTTCGGACGGCCTGTGAGATGAATGAAATCATCCGCATGGAAGTGATGAACCGTATGAAACTGCAGCAGGGCCTTAACGCGGCCAGGGGCGTGACAGATTTCTTAAAAGTTTGATAAAAATGAAGTCAGCAAGCAGTGAAAGCAGGACAGAGAAGATTGCAAGAATGATAATAAAAATTCATTGAAAAATAAATCGAGTGATCAATTTCAATATCTGAAGATTGCTCATATTCTGTCACATTGTCTAACTATGCTTTCTTTCTGAAACACTAATCTGATATATCTGCTATGAATGTATCTTATATCTCTGAGTCTCTGACTGACTAGAATAACTGATGCAAGGCTTTAGAGTGACTCAAAGAAGAATGTACTTCAGATTTTAAATATGTTTAACTCTGATATTATTCATCTCATTGATGACCTGAAGATTGACAGTCTGTTGAATACTCTTATCTTGACACATGATCATCATTGATCATTTAGTGAATTTCAGATATATTTTAAATCAACAAGTAAATCATATGAGTATAGAATTCATTCAATGAAGCAAAGACTCTTTCTATGTGATTCACTGTTTCTCATTACTCACACACTCACTCTTAGTCTCAATCATATCATTGATTCATCATCAGCTCGGCTTCTTGATATTCATTGAGTCATTGCAAAGATTATGAAACTTAGCAGCACAGGCGAATATATAGACACAATTCTCCAAGACTTGAAGAAGGTTGATGATGTGAGAGCAGATGGCTCAACAAAGTTGAGACACATTATTAGTTTATGACTTGATGGCTGGGTGAACCCTTTGCCTGTATCTTAATTGTATATAATTCTCTAGGCCCTTCTTTTATAGACAATCAATGTATCTCTCTGACAGCTAAGATTTTAATGAAGAACATTCATTTTAGCAGGGGTTGCTCCTAGCAGGGTCACTAGTACGCCAAGTCTGATTTGGTGTGCCAAGGAGCAGTGGCTTTGTGGTGTTCGATGCTCTATTGCCTAACTTTTAGATATGGGGCTGGGGCTAATCACTGAAGAAGTAAAGAGAAGAGAAGTATTTCTCTCAGACTTCTTCAGTGCTAATTTATAGGCGTGTGTGATTTGCTTAAATGTAAACCTTAATATAGGCCTGAATACACTAGGATTAGGCCTGGGTTAGGCCTGGGTTAGGCCTCGGTTGGTATCTGGCATTACATGCATACTGCGTACACTTAGAGCAGAAAACATGAGATCGTGAATATGTATCAACAAAAATTATTGGTTGATATCTCTTCACTAGTTAATAGCTTAGTTGCTACACTAATCGTATTGTGTGCTCAAGCTACCCCAGAGAAATTTCTTTGGGAAAAGAAATTAGCCACCTCCCTTGGGTGGTTTCTGTGCTGTTCCTTTACTCCACTCGAGTTCTTGATCAGACTCCCCCTTGAGAGGCTCAATATTGTAAACGACCAACCACTGCACCATTTTCTCAGGGAGAATATCAACCGTCAATTTCTGGAGCCAGTGTCGCCAGTATGGGGTTACTGACACCCCCCCACAGCCAACTCGCGCTAGAGAGGACCTCGCAATTTTATCAGCCGTCGGAACGAAGAAACTGAGTCTCCGAGGGTTTCCAGCCGTCTGCGTGCTCGCGACGACCATGGACATCACGTCGATGTGTTTGCCCTCAGCCTTCATTTCCATATTCAACCCGTTAGTGAACGACTGGATGTACGCCTTAGTGGCGGCATAGATGGTCAAATACGGCATGCCGATAGAGGATACGGATGAGATGTTTATGATGAGTGCTGGAGAGTTGCGCTCGAGATGTGGAAGGAGCACACGCGTCAACTGCGTCATGAAGCGCATGTTTACGTTAATGACGCGGTCTACCTCTTCATTCGTATGGTCCTTCAAAGTCATGAACTGCGAACTTGTCTGACCAGCTGTTCCACCTACGTTGTTCACGAGGACTGTGAGGGGGATATCATTGAACATTCTGTCAACAACTTTTTCGAGAGATTCGGTGGGCTGGGAGGCGTCGAAGATGAATTGTCGGAATTTGATGTGCGGGAATTCATGCTTGAGATTATTCTCGATACGCGATAGTTTCTCCGGGTTTCTGCCGTGAAGAACGATGTTGAAGCCATATTTGCAGAGCTCTCTGGCAAAGGCAGTCCCTATCCCTTCCGTGGAGCCCGTGACTAGCGCATACGAGCCTTTAGTTTTATCTAGGTATTTTGGAAGGGTGGAAGGGTGGCAGAATATGTAGAGGACGTGGCAAACTTTGATAAAGACGTATAAGATCGCGAGGGCACCGAAAGCGGTAAATACAGATAGAACCGTCATTGTGAAATCCATGATATCGAGCAATATTGTACGTATACCTGGATAAGTCTTTTCTATGTATTCGAGATGTTTGTTGATTCACTGTCCCAATATCCATGATTCCAGGGTGGCGACAGTGGTTACTGTAAGAGGTAATCGCACGCCAACAGCCAAAGTGTAAATGGGAGAAGGGATGTACATACATATATGTACATACATACAAAGTAGCAATTTTGTTGCAGGCTATTTGGTAATTATACTTGCATATTAGGCAAATTCGAATTTGTTTTGTTATAACCGTCTGTGCCTTTAGCAATGTCGGTTCAATTTGACTGACATATATTTAATCGATGTCGTCATCCATACATGTTTATCCTCCACAACAAAAGAACAAGCAAAAACAAATACCTTTATGTCAAACGAGCCTGGCTTGTGCAAGACTTATAAGCGCCTGACACAACGACTCATGAGCAATTTAATCTACCTATAGTAGAGGGGCCCGACAACGCGGTGGAAGGTTCATATATCGTAGTGTAGTGAGCTTGAATTAGATCGCCAGTTCCTGATTAAAATTCTGTAGTTTAGTATGTTTATGTCTCTCTAACTCTACCCGAGCCCAGCAAGCAAAACTGCTCCCACCTGTATTTGGTTCCAGCGGAACGGGCAATTGTATTACTGAAGACCTTTCGAGATTGTTTCTTGCCCTTGACGTCCTCTTTCCTATCGAGTGGGCTGACTATGCGATTGATATCTTGTTACTTCTTTTGTTTCACGCAATGTGCATCCATTGAACTGTTAATTAGGAAGGGTCAGAGGTTGAGGAGGGAAATTAGGTTAAAATATCCATTTTAGAAGAGGAAATCTTGCTTCAGAAGAAGAGTTTTGTTCCTCAAATTTGGGCCAGGGCAATCAATAATGTATATTTTTAAATCTTTCGTCCTCTTTTCTGGTTTCAATCTTTTCGATCAACCATTTCTGCCCATAGACATCTCTCAAACATCACAGGGAGATCTCACGGATCCAAAGTGTGTTGTGATATATAATTATTCTCTGTTATTATGTAGATACTCGCCACGCGGGCAGTAACTTATTTAATAATTGTGGGATGCTTCCGCATCTTGCTGATTGGATTGTTCACTGAATTTTAAACTTCAACCAAGTGCCCAGCAACTTGGTTCCGGCGCGGTCTAGTTCTGTTCCCTCGTATGATTTTTTTAGTGCGTGCGCCGAGAATGGTGCGCCGAATCGGGCCTGGCTGTGCGTGATCTTGATCAATGGCCAATCAGTTGGTCTTAATGACACTGAGAATTCTTCAGCCCCCTCGAAATACGCGTATATTGCATGGACGGCGAGGGGTCAGTATTATTTTTCCGCGATTTAACTGGGAGCAGGGATGAGGTTGCACGGGTCGCCGGTGGTGGTACAAGTGAGAGACCGAACAATTAATCTGGTGAAACCGGGATTAGTAAGACGCTGTAATCCCCCAGCAGAGCAACATTTATTGATCACTAATCAGGCTGCTTGGCGACAGTGGAGTGGCGCCCGCTAGCGCTTGCCACCAAATGTGTTAGCGCCCGTGGACACCGGGAAGCGGGAGACAGAGATCCGTTGGATTAGGTAATTTGGGGAAGGACTGCGGAAAATGTGTTTATCTGCAGCAATAATGGCTTGGAATTACGGAGATTATTAGATGGGAGAACGAATAGACAGCACTGTTAACGAGAAGGGAGGCACAGAAGGATTTCCAAGGTTAAGAGGGAAAAGATCACGTCATACCGTGCGGAAGTAGATCAACTTTACGGTTTAGATCGGGGTTGCTATTTAATACACGTCTCCTTCCCTTCCCCTCACTTCCCCCAGTACAGTACACAATCCCACGGCTGACTGCAAAAATCCGAGCGCATTGTATACAAGTGACATTATCACTCTCAATTGATATCTAGATCTCTTCATTCAACATCCAAAATCAATATGGCGCCCAAGATCGCTATTGTTTTCGTATGTCTGCTCTTCCCACCCAGCATATATGTTTCTTACCCTCTTCGACGCTAACGAGATCATGATACGCTTAGTACTCCATGTATGGACATATCCAGCAGCTAGCAGAAGCTGAGAAAAGAGGCATTGAGGCTGCTGGAGGTACAGCAGATGTTTACCAGTATGAGCCCCATGCGATAAAGCAGCTCAGGAAAACCGCAAACTGGACAAAGCAGTAAATGAGCTAGCTCCTCTCCAATGATAGCTAACATGTTTTTGCGCACCTTATAGAATCGCCGAAACCCTCACACAGGATGTCCTCGATAAAATGCGGGCTCCGGCGAAATCGTCCTACCCAATTGCTGAACCAAGTACCCTTCTGGACTACGATGCTGTCCTGTTGGGCATCCCAACCCGTTACGGGAACTTCCCCGCTCAGTGGAAGGCGTTCTGGGATAAAACCGGCGGTATCTGGGCTTCTGGCGGCTATTGGGGCAAATATGTTGGCCTGTTCGTCTCGACTGGAACTCCAGGTGGTGGACAGGAGTCTACCAACATCGCTGCGATGAGCACGCTGGCCCATCACGGATTCATCTATGTCCCTCTGGGATACAAGACTGTGATGCCCATCTTGGCGAACCTCAGTGAAGTGAGGGGTGGTAGTGCGTGGGGAGCTGGGACTTTTGCTGTAAATCGCCCGTTTGCTCCTCTTTGGCGTACTTTGCTAGGGAAAGTGTTCGGAAGGGAAACTAACGTATGAATTTTTGACTTTTAGGGTATTGATGGCTCGCGTCAACCATCTGCTCTTGAGATTCAACTTGCCGAAGAGCAGGGCACGCAGTTCTACAAGACAGTCTCCAAGGTCAAGTTTGAATGACTATCCTCTGTCACCAATACCTCCGGGAATGAACCCACGGCCAGCCAACCACAGTCAACAGCCGTACCGAAGCAAAAACCTACTGAAACAGCTAGGCAGGGTGAGAAATCTGGGCCATGTGGGCTGCCGAAATGTGTTGTCAGCTGAAAGGAGCTCAGGCGACGGGATTTTTTTTTTTCTTTCCAAAGTAGTTTTGATATTCTGTTTAATTCTTGAGGAGCGCCTCTATGATAGCACTGACTTAGTTAGCTATGGGAAATGAAAGAAATCATGAGCAAAACGCTTTATATCGTTATATGTAATCCGTAGCCCTGCTGATTCCACTGAATGTCAGTCATACAATCCGCGTCCACAGGAGTCGGAAAAAGTCAGACCAACCACGTGACATTGAGTGGCCCTTTGAGGCTCCCATTGACGTAACTAGTCAAGGAGCTCTTGTCTCCGCCAACTTCGATCAGCTTCTTCTCTTATTGCAACCTCCAGGCAACTTCCCACTGGCAGGCCCCGACTTCACCTCCACTGCTGAATATTTTTGTATCCTCACCATGGCCTGAGTATTCCATTTTTGATTGAATATTATCTTTGATCCTCCGGTGCACTCCCGGCCCTTACCTCCCCTCACCCACACATCACAATCATGGCGCCGGCAAGACCTATACTGCTACGGTTCGAGAGCCGGAACGGCCAGTTCAGGTTAACGGTGAACCCGACAGACGAATTCCCATCCCTTCTGCCAAAGGTTAGGCTCGCATATTAGAGGTTTGTTGTGTTGGCGTAGAGCTAATGTTCAACTTTTATTAAAATAGGTGCTGGATAACCTTCCCAAGAATACTGCTCCTCCATCTGTTGTACTTTCGAACAAACCGATAGGGACTGGAGGCCAGGAAAGAAATATCTCAACTCTGAAGGGGCTTACTATCCAGCGGGTTGGACTATCGTGAGTCAACCATCTCGATATACCTGTTTACTCCTGTCATGAAGGCTCATAAATCCAGTCACGGAGACAAACTTTTCGTTGGTTATGAAGAAGAGACCGCTGTGGTAAATGGCAGCTCGAGTGACCATCCATCCTCTACCTCCCGACCACAGAACGGATCACGTCGCCTAGACGGCGTTGCGGTGAGGCAACAAGAACCAGTTCCTCCTCCTGCTCAGGCGATAACATCTACGACGCTTATTAAGACCCCGTGGGAGGTTGTTAAGCAGTCACCCCTCGATGATCGATTGGATGGAAAGGATGGAAAAATAAGTCGTGGCCTAGATTACAAAATGTGCAGGCATGGACCAAAAGGCATGTGCGATTATTGTATGCCCTTGGAGCCATATGCACCTGAGTATCTTGTGGAGAAGAAGATAAAACACCTCTCATTTCACTCATATCTCAGGAAAATAAATTCATCTACAAATAAGCCGGAGTTAAAGAGTTCCTATATTCCCCCTCTCACAGAACCCGACTACAGGGTGAAAAGAGACTGTCCATCCGGCCATCCCGCTTGGCCAGAGGGGATCTGCACCAAGTGCCAACCAAGTGCGATCACGCTGCAGCCCCAACCATTTCGTATGGTTGATCACGTTGAGTTTTCTTCTCCTGACCTGATTAATTGTTTATTGGACTTTTGGCGAAAATCTGGAGCTCAACGACTTGGCTTTTTATACGGAACTTATGAGGAGTATACCGAAGTTCCTCTTGGGATAAAGGCTGTCGTCCAAGCAATCTATGAACCACCACAACTCGGTGAAATAGATGGTGTGACGCTTCACGAATGGAGTAACGAAAAGGATGTTGACGAAGTTGCCAAATTATGTGGATTGGAGAAAATTGGTGTCATATTCACAGACCTCATGGACGCCAGAGCTGGGGATGGTACAGTTATTTGCAAACGGCATATTGACTCTTACTATCTCTCTTCTCTGGAAATTATTTTTGCAGCACAACTGCAAGCCAGATACCCAAAAGCAACAAAATGGAGTGAAACGGGCCAGTTTGGATCGAATTTTGTCACTTGTGTGCTTAGCGGAGATGAGGACGGTGCAATTTCGATTAGCGCATACCAAGCATCTAACTCCGCAGTTGAAATGGTGAAAGCCGATATAATTGAGCCCTCTGCAGATCCCGGGGTTATGCTTGTACAACAAGAAAACGAACCTGATGATGATCTGAGCAAAGCTCGGTATATTCCCGAGGTATTTTACCGCAGAGTCAACGAGTATGGCGCCAATGTCCAGGAAAATGCGAAACCGAGTTTCCCTGTTGAATACCTCCTTGTCACTCTAACCCATGGGTTCCCAACTGACCCTGACGTTATGTTCAACGATTCGACTTTCCCAATCGAAAACCGCGAGGTCATTGGAGAGAGCCAGGATTTGAGAACGCTCGCTAATAAGCTGGTGTCGCACGGTGACCCTAACAAGGCGATATGTGCTGTATCGGACTTCCATCTCCTTTGCTTCCTCCATGGGCTTGGAATCTTAAATAAGGTAGAGTTGTCTTCAATATTGTCTAGAGTTATATTTGTCATGTTTATTAACCTTCACGTTCCTCCGGCTATAGGACGAAGAATCTCTTTTATGTACCGTTGCCCGGACCCATGATCCCGCGGATGGCATGCAATTAGTCAACACACCCGGCTGGGCCACCTTGGTTACAATACTTCAGGAGAGCGGTGAGCGGCCCCCCAAGCGCCCTTGGCCCTTCCAGCCAAAAACATCCATCTCTTCCCATCAACTCTCAAGCCATACAAAAACCCTTAAGTCGGAACATCCCCAATCGGATGGTGAACAACTTGCTAAGAGGTTTAAGGGGGCTAGCTTAGGATAGCATTTTCCCAAACCATATCCACCCTCTCGTGATAGAATTTCCTTGCTCTCGTTACGAAAATCGGATTTGCAGTTTAAATACAATATGGTGCATATACGTTCACGAACCTTTGCCAACCCATCTTTCTATTTACCATCCTACTTCGAGATGCTTCGCTAGCACCGCGTCTACCTGCACCTCTATCTCTTACTACTGGCATAGCTTTCTCTTCACAGTCATTCCTTTCAAACCCAACTAAAACCGCGCCTTGTCCTGATAGCGATGAATGGAAGCGCAAGGAGATTGGGGGTCAGAATAGCCTGAAGCTATGCACTCGGAACTTCTGTGGTTTTTATTAAAAAAGATAAACCGAACATAGTCAGCTTGAGCATCATTGAATAATAGTAAATGATCAATGTAATGCTGATGAGAATTTGGAGCTTCCGTGAATTTTATCTCCGATTACCCCTTTCCCTCTTGGATTTATCATTTATCATTTATCATGGCATTTTAGAGATCGAGCAGGATGACATTTATTTACACCAATTAGCTCAAGACTTTAATATTTACAGTTTAGATCCACTTGCCCAAACATGCGCCTTGCTCGGGTTACGCAATTGAATAAAAAAATAGAAAAGGAAAAAAAAGGAAAAAAAGGGAAAAAAGGAAAAAAAGAAAAAAAAGGAAAAAAAGAGAGAAAAGAAAAAAAGAAAAGAAAAGAAAAGAAAAGAAAAGAAAAGAAAAGAAAAGAAAAGAAAAGAAAAGAAAACAGAAAATTGCGCCTTTGGATAGAACAAATTAATAGCCGAAAGAGCGAAATGGAAAGCCACAGGAGTACAATTTTCCCTCAGGAAGAGGCTGAATCTGCTTTTCATAAACCTCAACTCACAGCTTGGCCAACTTCTTCAGCCTGTCTCCTAGCAAAGCCTTGCCCTTATCCGTTCGCCAAACCTCATGTGGCGCACCTTTGACCACATCCCACGCTACCAAATTATTAGTTATATTGGTCAGATCCTTCTGCTTATCTGCCCACCTCTGGCTCCTCCTAACTTCAATACCAGAACTAACAACAACCAACCGCATGGACGGAGACTGAATGTGCTTCGCGCTGGCAATCTCGCTTTTCGTCGTCGAATCCGCAACAAGGTTCTCCTGCAACTTCGCTTTGATGAATCTTCCATTCTGGTACGCCACTTTACCGTACACGCGGTCTTCCCTCGTGCGGCGCTTGAATATCGCCCCAGCCAACCTATCCAGTCCAAGCGGGGAGAATATCCCGCGCAGCCAGAGCTTGAAGCCACGACCTGGTTTGCCTATCTCCGGCAACAGGTCCTCGTGCAAGGCGTCAATTAGCATCAGACCCGTGATGTCGCCGGCATGTCGACTGGCGAAAATGCGGCTGTATATCCCCCCGACGCCAGCGGATACGACGACCCATGGACCTTCCTCGTCTGCTAGAGCTAGAGTTTCAGAGAGGACGTCGGCGGACATGCCTGCAGAGTGTGGAGATGGGGCATTGTCCGACCACCCCATGCCGGGTCTGTCCCAGTAGCAGTATCGATCAATTGAGCCATTGCGATACGCCTCATGTACCCAGCTTCGAAAACTGTCTTCGACGGGCATTTCGCCGGCTTCCAGTAGGACAGTTGCGCTGCGATTATCCGCTTTTGAGGAGGGGATCGTACCAACGCAATCTAGGTGGATTTGGTATTTGTCGTTGTCGACGTAATATTTCTTCCCGGGAGCAGGGAGGCCGGCATCCTTGGCGCGCAGGATCAAAGTGGCCATGAGCAAAATGGCCACGAGAACCGTTACGGTGGTAACTATAGTCTCGACCAGGACGGCAAACCACTCTCGCAGCGTTCGCCGCGTTTCTTGTCTTCCCGTCAAGCGCTCCTCCTCCTCACGCTTGCCCCATGCGACGAAACGGGTTTGGGCTAATAGGTACAGGCTGATCATCGTCGCCCATGCGGCGGAGGCAATACCTACCCATCCCTCCTCGACGCGGAGACGGGGCACGCCGACTATGATGAACAAGTTTACTGCTAGGAAGAGGGAGAGGACCGCGCCCCATATGGTCATGGGCCTCGAAGGGACGGAAAAAAATATTAGGGCAATTAACAGGTTGGCCATGGTCAGGGTGGTGAAGGAGAAATCGAGGAAACCGGAGCCGCGGCTGTTCATACCCGGTGGACTGACGAAAGTCGATGCGAGCAGTAGAATCCACCAGATCAGGTTTACTACCAGGAAGAGGATGGTGAAGCTTCGCAGCGCCCGGACGCTCCAGAGGTTGTATGGAGAGACCTGTTTGTGATCAGCCTTTTCTTTTCTTTTTCCTCTTTTGGGCAATAAACGTCCATGGAGGATTATTCTGGGAAGGTTAAGAGAGAAGAAATTGAAGACTTACTGCTGGGTCGTCAGGATCTAGATATCCACCCCGTGGTAGCAGGCGAGATCGTTCTGTTGGCTCCTCTCTCCGATGCCCTCTTCCTGCGCCTTCATCTTCACCATGTTCTTCTCCCTCGCTGTGCTCCTCGCGCGTTCTCAAACCCCATAGCGGAGACATTGTGTGAGAAAAAGTCCCCCTAGCTCACTAGAAATAAAGAGTTATCGAAGTTGTCAACAAGAGATATCACAGGGCGCTGGTAGGCCCTTTCGTAAGTAGACGACCTAGAGAGCAAACGGAGTCCATAAAACCAAAATTTAGATATTAAGGAATGCAATACAAAGGTGATTTGATTCATAATTTGTTTTTTGCCGTGGCGAAGAGACCTTCTTCTACCAGACCCGGTTTTCGAGAGAGTTGCTGATATCGTCATTGGCAGGATGATGTGATGTCATCGAGGAGTTCTAAGCTTTAAATAAGGTTGCTCCCGTGATATCATTTTTATTTTCTATCTCCAACCGCCGCATCAAAGCATAACAATAATATACTCTATACAGCTTCCTTTCCATGCTTTTTTTCATCTTTGAAACAATGTTGCTGCCAGGAAAATATATCTGTTCCACACGTTCCCCCTCAATCCAGAGCCTATGTTTCTCTCTCCTGCCTCAAAATTGAGCTTTACACAACAGTATCCGGGTTATTCGACCAATTAAAATAGCAACATAAATAAACTGTGATATGATAATGCTTTTTACCTTAAGGGTCCAACTTGAAAGGCTTCCTGTCATCCCATCATTGGGATATGACCCCATATGGATAATTTCGTGGACCGTCACGTACGTTTCCATCATCGGTTTTGTTCACATATAATAATGACAATAACGCTGGAATTGTCCATAGCTTAATGGGTAGTAGATACTTGCAATGATCGGAGCCAATAAATGCAACTTTTGAAGAGTCCGTGTATGAAACAGTACAACAAACTAGCAACAAAGTTTGGAGTTCACGTTTTACTCAATTTTTCTGGCCGTCTGATATTTGTTGTTGGTCGGAAATTACCCGATGTTGTAAGAAACGATAGATACGGTACGGTAACGTGATAACTCTACAGGGGATCCATGGCCATGGATGTGTATGATGAAGTTACTGCGACTCATCTGCAAACTTGCGCCTGGCAAACAACAGCTCAGAACTATTTACTTCATTTATCTGCTTCAACTGCGGCAGCTCTTCCTCACTTGCACGATAGAACAGAATCTGAAGGCTGTGTGGTCTGTAATCAGGAGGCGCATCACATCGATGCGCTGATTTCTACACAGCTCCGTATTCTCGAATTTTATACCACCACTTATTTCATCCTGTCGCCATCACTCCAGATATGAGCGATCTTCAGAAAAACTTTGCAAAATCTCGATTGACTAGATTACCTCCGGAGGTACTGGTATTTGATGGACTAGGTGAGGATAGAGAGAATGATCATGATGGTAGTACCACCTCCATACATCACGAACGTCAAGATGATGATTCGTCCTCAGCTTCATCCGTATCCTCCACGGGAACAGTGATACCATCCGCAAGCCAAAACTTATTTGCACGTCCACCCAGGTAGGTTGGTCGTCTCTTTTTAGAGTCCTCTTCTGTGAATTTGGCTTTTTTATATTTGTTTGTCAGTATTTAATTTATTTTTTGCCTTTGGTGTTTGAAATAAGCTATTCCATGCTTTTTATTAATCAGGGTTTTAGGTGTCCCTCCTAACCCTTCCGTTTTTAATTTCCATATGAACACATCCTAATTTCTACATTCTGCTAACAGGTCGGCATCCGCAAGATCAGAAGCTACTCCATTACCATGGATAGACTTCTTTGACCAGGAGCTTTTCCTAGAAGAGGATATCGAGGGTTTACACATCTCCCACCATGCGTACATCAGTGCCCCTTCAGAGTCCGGCCCTTTGTTCGTCACCCACCACGGTGCTGGATCGTCCGGCCTTTCATTTGCTGCCTGTGCAGCGGAAATTAAGAAGATCCTCCCTACTGCTGGCGTATTATCTCTAGATGCGCGAAACCATGGAAGTACCTCCGTCAGAAGAAAGAGTCAAGGTGCGGAAGACAATTCACAGGTAGAGATAGATCTAAGCCTCGAGACGTTATCTCGTGATTTACTCTTCGTGATCGACCAAACCCGAATAAAGATGAACTGGGAATCGCTCCCGGACGTCGTTTTCGTTGGCCACAGCTTGGGCGGAGCTGTGGTCACCGAAGCTGCGAAGAAAGGTGAACTTGGATCGAAGCTCCTGGCTTATGCCGTTTTAGACGTCGTTGAAGGTAGCGAAGATTCAGAATTTTTATATCATCGGAATATTGCTGATGAACTTCAGGTTCCGCGATGGATGGGCTTCAAAGTATGGAAACATACCTTTCTACCCGGCCGTCTAGCTTTCCCTCCTTGGCTTCCGGGATTAGTTGGTAGTATGTTGCACATATAAGTTTCTTCCCCTTCGCTCGTAGTTTCCAGAGCGACCGGTTCCATTAATTTAATTGAAACTAAATAACGTTGTATAGCACCCGATCACGAACTATCCGCAATACCTTGTCTGCACGAGTGTCTGTACCATCCCTCCTCCGTGAAGATCCTTCCGATACGTCTAGACCGTGGAAGTGGCGCACAGACCTAGCCGCTACGAAACCATTTTGGGAGAATTGGTTCATAGGCCTTAGCAAGAAGTTTCTCCAAGCCCGCGGGGGCAAACTGCTGCTGCTTGCTGGAACGGACCGTCTTGACAAAGAGCTTATGATCGGGCAAATGCAGGGTAGGTTTTTTTTCTTCTCTTTTTCTTTTTATAAAAAGTCCTTTTGAAACTTCTAGACTCCCAACAACTATTTTACCATACTAAATCATGCTTCCCCAAATCTTCTCAAAAAACAATCAAGGCAAATATCAACTCCAAGTGTTCCCCGAATCAGGCCACTTTATCCAGGAAGACCAGCCCGCAAAGACAGCACAGATCCTCGTCGACTTCTATAAGCGAAATGACAGAAGCGCTCTCGTCCTTCCGCCCAAAGTCGGTGATGTGTTGGCGGCACAGGCTATGGCGAAAGGAGTTGGGGCCGGCGGGCATGGGGGCATGGGGGCGGATTCCCACCAAGCAACTGGACAAAGTCAGACCCCTGATTAACTGTACCTAATTCAGGGAGTTGTTTTGCGGGCGAAAGCATGAATGCATTTTTAACTCCTTTTAGTGAAGCGCATTTCTGCATGAATATTGACATAGGCGGCATCGTATTACCGAAAGCTGCCTGTGGCCTCTGCTTCATACCAGAAAATTTGAAAGAACTATGGACGCGCCAACATCCGCGCGCGGAAGGGATGACGGCAGGAAGGACCCTCATTCTATTGTCAGTTTACTTTGTGAGCGACTCGCGCGACTATATTATAGAACCAATTGTTGTCGCGTTGAGATAAAATAAAGATACGTTGCTAAAAACTTCCATGGGGCGGAGGCTAGGAAAAGAAGGGAAAAAATCATTTTGAAAGGAAGCGACCATACCCACGGGAATGAAAAGCCTAAAGAAATCTCATAAAAACAAAATTACCGCCCCCCCCCCTTCTTCGCCCTTCCCATAAATAGTAAAGTGCCCAAGGTTTGATCTCTGCCTTTACGCCAAAGATGGAGAAAACATGTATAAACAAGGTAGCTGATCATTTTTGCGGGAAAATTCCAAATTAAAATGTAAAAGTCAAGAGGAGATCTAAACATCGCAAATAAGAAATGGTAGGGAAACAAAAAGGGAAAAGCGGTCGTACATGCGTTAAATGCTATGAGATCTGCCGCCTTTATTCATGGCATATATGCGCCGCCCGCAACGACCAGGTTCATTCCTGTAAATCGCGTTTTGTAAACAGGGCTCTTTTTGGTGGGGAACGCACTGATCTGGTCAGGGGTTACGACAACCTCCTTGCTTTTCTTCTTCGTCGTGCCTGTGCCAACACTGGGAACACCTGCAGCCGAGGCCTGAGCGCTTGATGAAGCGGCAGGGTTTCCAGCATCAATCTTTGTCCCAGCGCCGCCCTCGCTTATAACACGCCCTTGGCCAGTGGACGGATCCTGAGCCGGCCCTGCCACATCCCAAACACGAACAGTACCGTCCGCACCACCGGAGACCAGGACTGTCGACTCAGCACTCCACGTGAGAGACCAAATACCACCCTTCCCGTGGCCACGCATACGCTTTAAGAGTCTACCAGGAGCTAGATCCCACAGGAAGATGGAGCCATGATCATCAGCCGACGCAAGAATTTTGCCATTGTTGCTGCATGCCAATGCGGTGATGTTACCAGTGTGGCCAGTAAACATGCGAACGGCGTTTCCAGTGGTTACGGCCCACATCCGCACAGTATGATCGGAGCTACCAGTGAAAACATAAGCTGAATTTGGGTGGAAGCATACACAGTCCACGTCTTGATCATGTCCGGCGAAGATCCGCTGCTGTCGTATTCTATCTGTCACCCACAAGCGTGCAGTTTTGTCGTGGCTGCCAGAGACAAAATAATGGCCATAAGGACCCCAAGCGATATCCCACACCGGCTGTGCGTGGCCCTTGTAGACGACCATACATTGCCAGAGATCAAGAGACCATAAACGGATGGTTTTATCAGCCGATGATGACAGAAGCCAGCGCGTATTCGTCTTGACTTCTTCATCCTCCGGACTGGCGATAGAGGGGGCAAATGCCACTGCATAGACCGGTCCGGAATGGCCAAAGAGACGGTGGGAGTTTGTAGGGGCAGAATCTTCTGAGTCTGGGTAGGTTGGTGGAATGGGTAAACCATCAAGACTCCAAACACGAATATAAGAATCTTGTGTCCCAGCGGCAACCAACATACTATCGCCAGAGAAATCTATGCAGTTGATGCTAGAGGCCGGTTAGAGCACAGACAGTCAGAAGAGGGGGACGTCATAAGTTGCTGTTAGCGTACCTATCGTAAGTATTGTGAAAAGTGAACATGCAAACACTGATGGCAGGGCCAACACCTCCAGTTCGCCCTTCGATTTTGAATCTATCACGGTTTTCTTTAACCTTTTGCACTTCCATGGCGACATCACGGGCCATTGAGGGCGGATATGGTATTTCAGCGCGTGTTGGAGCCTCTTCATCTTCTTCTCGTTTGATCATTTGTTCAAAGTGTTGAACAAGAGATGGGCGACCTCCGGTTGGAGGGTCTTTCACGTCTGCCTCCTCAAGTTCAGCCCTTACATCTCCTTCAAGGAGTGGCTCCATCGGTAGTTTTCCAAGCTTGAGCCTGGGAAGCGTTCCTGCCATTGCAGGGTTATCACCGGTATATGCAGATCCCGGGTGGTGGCCTGGTATTCCTTCGTCCTCCGCAGGCATCCCGGAAGAATTGTTCGCTCTTCCAAGCATCGCAGCAAAGCTGAAGCGATCATCCGCGGCTCGATCTTTAGTAATTATTGTGCAATAGCTGCTAAGAATAGCCGACATCACAGTTCCTCCCTCCTTTTGCTTGCTTTCAAGGAACTGCATAAGGTTTGAAAATGCTGGATTGCTCAAGGTAAGGCGATATTTATTGTTACGGTATAGCTTTGCAACGCTATTCTCCTGTACATGTTCAGGGAGGCTTATTGGCTCCAAAGCGCGGATATCCTCGCTATGTTCGGGAAGAAACAAGCTCTTGTTTGCCTCGAAAAACTGACGACCCTCCAGTGGCACTAAGGACGTGATGAGATTAAGATATGAGTAGACGAACAGAGGCCATAGGACACGTCGGAGCTCCGGCTGCACATTATGTTAAAAGACTGAATAAATCTACATGTCAAGAGGACAATACCTTATAGATATCCAAATTGTCCTCGACCCATTTTCTGGTCACATCTGCCAAGTTAAGTTAGCAAGATTGATTGCGTAACTGTGGATATAAATACACTTACCAAATGCTAACTTGAACTTTGGGCGTGAGTCCTCGCTGGCAGGAGGAAGAGGACGTCCATCGATTTCTTGGTTCGCGGACTCCATTCGAAGCATTGCTTCGGTTCTGCTGTATCCTTTTTTTGCCAAGTAATCGATAACCTAAAGCAAAGACATATTAGTTATTACTCGTGACATGAATGGTTAGGAATCCAAAAAAACACGAAACAGCGCATGCAAAATAGCAACCTAAACTACTGTAATGAAAATGAAACCGCAACCACTAGAAACAAGGCCGCAGCAGCCACACAGAACCTACTGCTCCTACAAGGCCCTGGTCACCTCCAACAGAAGGGTCTCCATACGGAGAATGTCCAGGACTTGGACGTCCCATATTTTGAGTCTGTTGTATAGCCTAGCTAGCTTGTTGTAAAGCACGAAACGATTTCTTTGTTCTAGCAAAAATAAAAGCAACCACGAAGGGGTTTGGGCGGGAAGTAGAGCAAAAGCACAAAATTGGTGAAACTCATACCCCAAATGAACCGATTTTCAACGCAGAAAGATGAAGAACAGCTTTTATAGGAATGTAAAGCGACACTCAGTCTCACCACAGAATTGGCTCTGCTCTGCATTCCTCACAATGATATCTCTAGCTTAGCAAACATAATGAATGCCAGCAAAGAGATAACTCACACAAAGCTTAGAAACAAGCTCTTGTTGTTTGTTGCATGGGAAGAAACAGAGAATTTAGCAAAATGAAAGGTGGTGGGAGACAAAGAAATCAGTAATAACAAATACATAGAAACGGCAAAGAACTGCCCCAGATAAGACATAAGACAAGTTTTGACCTACAATCTGATTCAAGTTCTGCTGGGACATGACCCCCGACGGCGGCCCAGAGGTTGCCGGGCTCCCCGCTGAAGGAGGCCCGCCATTGACCTGCTGTTGCTGGGACATTGGCATCCCGCCCCCTGGGCCCATGCTGCCGCTCCTCGGCCCCGGGCTAGGAGCTCCCGGACCGGACATGTTGGGTGTGTTCCTCTTCTATAGCGAGAGTAATGGGGTATACACAGAAGAAAAGCTAAAAGCTGATATGGCTGCAATGAGTCTGACCCAGCTCTAGGGCGGGCCGGATGATTATGATAAGAGTGGCATTGGACATTGACGGTATAGTTGCTTGGAACGGCGGAGATTCGAGCGAAATCACGGGTAGGTTGTTTGATATTACGCTATCACAAATCAGGTTAGTGTAGTGAGAAGGGAGCTTCGAGACAGCTTACCTAATCATGGAGATCTGGGGCTAACTTAAAGGGAGTTAGTTACCTGGTTCACAGCCATAAGGTACCTTCTCATACTAAATTAGTGCAGAGGTACATAAAGTGATCCAAAAAGTGGTTGTTTGTTAAGTAACCGTTGCCAAGCGCACTCACTCTAGTGAGTTAGCCGCGCTCTTAAGCTCTAACAACACCATACAGCAGCTCTATATCGACACTTCCTCAATCGTTGAGTGAGAAACCATGCATCCACAAGAACCCGGCGATGTCTTTAGCCCTGCTGATCGAATCCGTCAACTCAATGATATCGACAAGGTTTGTCCTCCCTATATCCTCCGTGAACTCTGACCTGTTTCCCTGACAGTAGGTTCGCAGGATGTAACAAAACTCCTCAACGCCGCGGGCGTTGCGATCAGGTCGCTCACTACCAATTCTTCTTCCATAGCACTAGGACAGCAGTCCAGTGATATTCCCAAAATCGATGGGACCCTAGAATCGCATCAAGCAGCTTTCAGAGCTGCAAGCTCGCAATACTTCGCTCTCCTCTCCTCGATCGATGTGCATCTCCGACGGCAGGTGTATGCTCTGGAAGAAGCGTCTATAATCAAGCCTGAATCTGCTGAGACTGCAGGCGGGGGTACTACAACAACAACAATTGCTGCTGCTGCTTCGTCAGGAGGAGTTAACCCTCTCGATTCTAGCTGGCTTAATAGCCGGAAGGATACTGTCGGAAAGGATAAGGAGGCGGAGTTGTGGGCGGAGGCTAGCAGGCTTGCTGCTCAGCTGGATAAAGACAAAGGTTCTTACAGGAACGAATCTGGCGTATTGGATAGGAAAGGGGCTTTCGAAAGAAATATGGAAGCTGATTGAAGTTGATTCGGGGCCGGGTTGCATGCATTGTCTCCGTCAGCGCGACATTGGGGTGAAATACAATCAACCTCCTCCACCAACGCTACGAAAATATAGCGTGGTCAATCGATTCCCGCTGTTTCATGAATATTTCCATATATTGCACGGTACGACATACCGATATTCGAATGTCAAGTTGAAGCCAAGACTTCCCATGCGCGCCGCAATTAACCATGCTAGTGACGTTCATGCATTTTCTACTGGCTGGTATATAGCGGAAACCGCCCCCGAAGGTTGTCAGCACAAATAACGCCCACTCTTGTAAAGGCATTACACCATTGGAATTGAGGGATAGCTCTTTGGGAAACTCCTGTGTGACCCGACCGCATGTGACGATAAAGCAGATATGCTTCTAGGACTGGAACAACCCTGTTATCCGCTAAGATGCCATGGGATTTATATTGCAGATAGAGGACAGACGAATAGCGCCTTTGCTTTCTAAATTACGGAGCCGTATGCGCTGTTCAACGGGATAGGATCCTTACACAATGCGAGGGAATTGGGAAGAGATGCTATGCACAGTTGGGGCGCTCGTGTACTTGATTGAAGAGAGCTGCAGTGTCTTGTCTATATAAACCGTGCTAGCACGACTCACGCGGTAATGTATTTTGACAAACTGGACGGGCTCTCTGACTTGCAGCTTTCCCCAGGTGCCGATTTATCTTTAGTTAGATCCCCTGACTCTGGTATTAATAGCAATGGAGAAGATAATTTGGATTCTTTACATTCGGAGAGTCATAAATATCTTATCACTCGTCCGAGAATAAATAAAGGAGATAGAAACAAGATATAAAGGACGAACGAAAATACATGGGCCGCTCGCGTTATCGCCGAAACCAGAAACGATAAGTTAATACTGCTGCAAAATGCAACCCATCTGAATTTGCGCGGTTGGTACTTTCTATAAGACGAACAAAGGCCGTAACTAATGCTACCTCTTCATTGAATTGATCATCTCCCGATGGGTAGCTTGATCTCTATTTGTCTCGGAAAGGGGTTGGATACCTATGCAAAAGGAAAATCATTATATTAGCAGAAGGAATAAAATCAAACCGAGCAGCAATGTTGCCGGGAGGAGCCAAAAGTAGTCTAGCACTCACTTCTCAAGTCGGAAACGATATCCTTCGCTTTCCCAAAGTAGACCTCCTCTGCAGATAGATTCCAATATTAGTAAGAAGATGCGTTTTATATCATAAAACGGTTACGGTTGGTGTAAATTTAAGCAAAAAGGTGTGCATACGAAGAAGATTCCGCATCTTCAACTCCATATCCTCAACCAACCGCCCGACATTCGCAACATGACTAGCGTCTCCATCGACGGCCATGTCTGCCTCGATCTGTCTCGTCATATTTCCACTGAGGTCCATCTCACCCAATCCTTCTGAACCGGTTGATAAATGTAGGATGACGGTGCTCGTTAGTTTATAGTGGCATGTCCGCGCGCGGTCTGTGGCTTCAAAGACGTGGATACTATCCCAGGCACCAGAGTTTTTGGAGCCAGGAGTAATTGCTGGAGGAAACGGTCAGCCAGTCGTTCAGGATAGAGGTGAAAGATGGCTGTGTTTTGCGAGAGGGGAATATCCACCGCTGCATTGTCCCCAACAAGGACAGAGAAATAAACAAGAATACCACGAAGTTATATAGAGTAATATGAGATCTCGCCAATGGTAGAAAAGCAAACCAATAAAATAAAGTAAACCCCGCACCTTTCTTCAACAAAACAACACCAGCAAACCCATCATCCAAATCCCAAAAATACACACTCCCGACCCCGCCCTCATAATACAGCTCCCGGTAGACGTCGAAAGCTTCATTGGCTGCTACCTCTAACTTCCGCACTCGCTCGCTAGGTACAGTCCCATCTTCAATCGGCGGGTCGAACTCATTGCTCCACGGGCTGCGGTAGCTGTCGCCGTCCCTGTTGTAGTCGCAGAGGAGGTAATCACGCTTTGTTTGGGCGCATCGGCGGATTTCCAGCGGTTGGTCGACGGAGGCAAGGAGGTCTTCGGTTAGATCGGGGACGAGAGTGGTGATGTATTGGAGGTTTTGTTTGGTGTCGCGCGGTGAGAGGCGGCGGAGGAGGTCACTGGTGACGGTTAGAAACGCGGGGTGGGTTGGGTTTAAGGAGTGGAGATAGATGATGGGGAAAGGTGACAGGATTTACGGGTCCAATGCTTACAGGGCACTGTCAAACTGTGTATCTGCCATGATTGTAGGAGTTGTATAGTGGTGATGGCAGATACGGGGACGAGATCTATCTGTTCGAGTGGTGGGTGCAATCGCGGAGGCTTCGATGATGATCGACGGAAGTTATTTAAGTGCGTGGGGCAAAAATCTGGGCGTGGCAATGACGAATGCAGGCTAAAAAAATGACAATCTACAAGCTTTAGTTCCTACCAATTTAATGCACAAAATTTAGTCAATTGGATATCTCTATGTAATATATACTACTGCGCATCTACTACCACAGTATCTATATACAAACGCCAGCTGAATAAGGCCTGTCCAATACCCTAAAAATACAGGATAGTGTTGTATCGATCACGCCCCAAGGCAACATCCTTCCGGCCAAATCATAGACAATTGTAATTCTAAATATCAAAATCATCGCTGTCATGGCAAACTATAAGGCGTTTCCTTCGTGCTCCCCTTGATGGACTTTGTTGCTCCTGTTCGGACATCCGCTTCCTAGTCAGCTGGTTGAAGAGCGTTTCGACGTCTGGAAGCTCAAGATCATCTCCTGCACTGCCTTGGGAATTGGGAAACGAGTTCCTCTCCGGACGCTTCGGCGAGAATGAAGAACACATCAACGGAGAAAAAGGATGAGATGTATTGTTGGAGCGACGTAACTGTCGCCCAAATTCGGGTGAGTCGGGACGCTCTTCGCTAACTTTTGGAGCAGAATGTCTCGTTCTTCTCGTGCCTTTGGAGGCTGGAGCTTCATGACGCTCAGGTAATAAGTCATCGGGGTGTAGATGATCTCTAAAATGGTTCTCGCAGTCAATTGTTAAAGCATTCATGTTCCGGCAAGCCTTAACCAGCCGGCGGGTGACAGTCCCGTGCTTCACAAATTTTATTGGGCGGTAAGACCTTTGCAGCTCTGGATAGGCGTCGATTCGTGGTCGACAAACAAACTGCGGAGAGGTAGCTCCGATATTGCAATATCTTTGCTCTAGCTCTCTCTGCTCGTCCTTGGAAAGGAGAACTTCATCCAATTGTGGGATACCAAGCGTTTCGACAACTCTGGGCGGTGGTGTGCGGGGAAGTTCATTTGTAGCTTTACGGCCCGCATTCGTACCCTTGATGCGAGATACCTTGGTGAATCCAGTTTCAACACCATCAGGCATGTGGAATTTCTTGGGGGGTCGTTTAGGAACTCTCGCACGCTTGGCCGGTTCGGGTAGATCCGCCTGGGAATTTTCAGCTGGGATGTCTATTTGTCTTTCGTCCACTGAAGGTTGTATTTCTCGTGGAAGTATTCGTGGTGACTTATCATCGTGGAATGTGAAACGAGTTCCGCTAGCAATCATCCGCTGCATTTTTTCGTAATTATCCTTTGCTTTTGTGAACGAATCCTCTTCCTTGCCTTTCATCAAAAGAAGGACAATATTCCCTCTTCTTTTCCTTCCGGTTCGACCCATCCTTTGTAACATTCTGATGGGCGAGGCGGAAGAGTCGTAACACACTATAAGGTCAACCTCCCCAATGTCAAGGCCTTCCTCACCGATGGAGGTAGCGACAATTGTGTTGTATGTCCCCTTTTTAAATTTCTCGATGATATCGAGTTGGGTCTTTTGGTCCATCCCTTCTGATCCTTTTGCAGCGGCTTGACCAACAAACACATGTGGACGGATCATGGGCCCGTGTCTCGCCAACACCCTCACGATCTCTTCTGCACTGTCACGAAAATGAGCAAATACCATTATTCGCGTATTTGACGGGCGTCTATTTGCAGAAGGAGTGTCGCCATTAACCTCGGCATCCATAAAATGGTTAAGCACAACCTGCTTTAGGTATTGCAATTTTGGGTGTCCAATAAAATCTTCATTATTGGTCCACGTCCTCAGTCGATTCATCAGGGTCTTGAAATTCTCATTATCTGCGACTTGACGGCGGTATTTACCACCGCCTCCATCACTCAAGGAGCTCTGGAATGCAACGAGATTGCGGTAAAACGGCCCGATCCCATGAAATTTCAGAAGGTCTATTGCATGGGCTAAACTCGAAAGCACCGAAAATATATTGAGTATCATGCCCTTGAATGAGTAGTTTGCATTTCTCCCAGCGGGTGAATTCATCCACTCCTGGCTGGCAACCCTAAGTCCGTATGGCGTGAGAGTCATTGGGTCCTTGGCCCAGTACGCATTCTGGGCGCGAAGTTTATCTAAAACGGGCTGCAAGGACTTTCCGAACAAGTCCATGCACATGACCATTTCGTCGGAGTTTTCAAACGTCTTTATTTCAACATTTCGCGAGTGAACGTATTCACTGATGTCGAGAGACTCCTCTGTTCGTATTTCAACTCTAGATATATTCAAACCATCAATAACTCCTTGTACAGCTTCCACTGTTGACCCAGGAGTTGCTGTTAACGCGAGGACCCTAAAGCTGGTGTTGTATTTTTGTAAAAGTTTCACCGCTTCAACATAGGCATAGCTACCGGTGGCACGATGGGCCTCGTCAACAACAAGCAGTACTATCCGCTTTGGATCAGCATGTCCACTTTTGAGGTCGTTAACAAGAGTCTGAGGCGTCATGAAGAAGACCCGTTTGCTCTGCCATTCTTCAGCACGGATTGCTGGCACCGTACTGCCAGTGAGCATAACAGTTTGTGAGCGAGGTATTCCCGCAATACCAAAACATGCGGCAACTTGCTGGGAGACCAATGGTTTTGTTGGAGCAACGAAAATTATCTGGGCATCTGTGGTCCACCGAAACCAATTTAACATGACGGTAGCAGCAATGAAAGTTTTTCCAAGACCGGTCGGAAGTGCAACAAGTAAATTGTGAAAAAGAGCACGCTGGGTGATATTAAATTGGTACTCTCTTTTCTTGCCCAAGTTTATTGGATATATCCAAGATCTTACAGCGGTAGAATCTAGTTTATGATGTGTTGGAGGTTCATTGTTGTTTGCTAAGGGCCAATTGTGGGACCCAGATTGCGATGACAATGATGGCTTGCCAGTTTGAGAAGGTCCACCAAAGAGAGTCATCTGCCGTAAGTTCTTTTGCTGAGAACTTCCATGTCGGCGGAATGAAGATTGAGAAGGAAACGGCTCGGAGGATGAAATTAAAACGGGAGCTTTCGTAGGCGAATCAGATGATGAATCTAGGGAAGAGTCGAAAGCGTCTTCAGGGATATCTCCAATATCAAAAAGCATATCCTGAGGCCCAAAACTAGACTTGGTAGAGCTGGGATTTTTCTGTTTGCCGGAATTAGGCGACGGTTCCATGTCTCCGTTGTTTTCCCCTCGAAACGAATCCAGAGATGCAGCAATGGCAGCTTTCAGATCCTCGTCCATGTCGTTATTCTCCGTCTCTATAATATTCCATCTCTCGACATTCACGCGGGTCGGAACTGGTTTCGCAGCAAGAACCTCTGGGTCAGGCTTTTTCCACCGAGGCCCACGAATCATTGAAGGGCTCGAAGGAGGCTGGGTCAACTGGGTCACGAAAGTCGGTTCTTGGGCAAGTGGGCGTTTAGGTTGATATATTTTGTATTTTGAAGCGGTTGGCTTTGTATTTACTTCATTCTTGTATCTGACTGTCGGTGCTCGATGACGCGAAGGTAGGGTACCCAGGTTCTGACCTGATTCATGGCCGCTCCCGTCGTCCCCTCCACTACCATTTTCGTCCCAAGAAGAAGTCGGTTCTCGTGTGTCACTCGCTCCAACATGACTCAAGCGTCTTCGTTTGCGGGCTGGAGGGCTGTCGGAGGTGGTGGCTGAAAGATTAGCAGAGGCGGCAACGGTGAGGATGTCTCGATCATCGAAGTCACTAAATTCGCTACCATAGGAGCAGCTCGACATTGTATGTACTGTATAGTACATGTACTATGTTCTAACTCAAGAAAAACAAAAGAGTACAGGGATAAACAACCAAATGTCCTAGTAACTACAGTCTGTAGTCAGGAACACGTTTATCTACACCACATTTCATCGAGTTCCAAATCGTCGAAGTGGTTCAGTTTGCCTTGGGGGGCGACTTTTCGATGTTGATGGTGACGCAGGCGCGTCGAGGGGACTGACTGATACATGGATGTAACACGGGTCCACGTGATCGTGATCTGATCTCGTCCGAATCGGGTATTCCTTCATTTTTATTTATTATTTGTATGGATGTACGACTTTCACACTATTTCTAACGAGGAGGCAGCTGGCTGCAAGTTGGTCACCTGCTTGGACTCCCAATATCCCTTCGTTTAGGAGAGACAAATTGAAAGTAATGATGACATGCTTGACATATGGTGCCGAGGAACAAGCCTGCATGTCTGGCTGCAAGACCGTTGTAAAACCCGCTGAAAGTTGAGGAGACATGTCCCAGCTGGACCCAACCAAAAACCAAAAAACACTGGCCCTTGGGAGCGCCCGGCTCCTCTTGAGCGAGCGACCCAATCAGATCAGCATTCGCCAAGTGCCTATTGGAACAAAATAGCGGCTTTCAGTTGCTAGGTTGGGGGGGGAATGTTTGAGACAGCGCAAGCAACCGATATTGGATCCAGTGGCGAAATCGACACAAACCTCGGAAAACAGAGGAGCTTTCTCGCAAAGACTGTGGAGTATATATTTTTTGTGTCTAGGAACAAGCTGGGAACGGAGAAACAAAATTAAATAGCCATCACCAAGGAATTCAAGGAATTCGCGGTTTCGCCCACCCACCAGGGCCTCTTTCATGCCAGTGCTCAAAACTTTGTGCCACCATTATTCTTCACGCCCAACACACAAAACACGAGCCTGGGCCGTCCCGAAATGGGTGGTCCATAAAATGGAGCTATCAGGTTTTCTTCCCCCCCCCCCCGGGCATTTGATCATGTACGGTACGCCACACGACAAGCCATTGGTTTGCTTTCCAAGTTCCCAGGGAACTAGCTAGTTTTAAAGGGGTATGGACACCAAACCTACGCCAGGATCTGACCCCCCAGAGGCCTCGATTGGCTCCAAAAGTTGTTCCTGAACTGACTGCTTGGATATGTTTACACGCCATGCAATGCAAGTGACCAGAGTTTTGCCTGCTTGGCTTTGCATCATATAAGACAGGACAGGAGGACTTACTGCGGAGTAACTTCAGTCGAAAACTCTCTTTCTCTCCTCCTCCCAAAATCCAGACAGTCATTCGTTATCTTCAAATCTGATTTTATTTTTTCTCACATTCTTTGCCTATTCTAATACCCAACGTACAGATAGTTTTCATTAAATTTTGTTTACCCTCTTTTACAACTACGCTTTTCTCCGACAAGCCACCATGAAGGTCTTCACATTCTTTGCCCTTGTTGGCCTCCTGGGCTCTGTCTGCGCCCTGCCTCAAGAGACCACCGCTCCGGTCTCCCAAGCTAACCAGTGTGCTACTGATTGTATGTTCACTTAATACCTACACACCTCCTGGCTTGAGCGCGTACTAATTGTTCCACTCCAGGCGGCAGCGATATTTGCTGTACAGCAAAATGCTTCAAAGTCCCCTGCCCTAGCGAGAACATGGTCAACCAGACCACCCAATGCGCGATGGACTGCCCTCAAGGCAGTGGAACTCCCGACGACGCTATCAACTATGCTGATTGCCAGACCAAGTGCATCAACGCCTTCTTTTTGGAAGGGACCACGGTCATTCCAAATCCTACTAAAACTGGCGGTATGTCATTTCCATTTATTTCTTTAAAGTTTTGGTTGGGTGATAGAGCTTCTGGCGGCTACCTCAGCTATGCTATGTGCATAAATGTCTAGTGAAAAATACTAATAATGAATGTAGAAGCAACTGGCACTGGTAGCCCGACTGGCGATTCTACTTCTTCTCCATCCCCATCTGCCGGCGGTGCTGCGATTAACGCCCAACTCGGATCCTCTGCCGCTGGCATTGTCGGTATCCTCATGGCTGCCTTGGCTCTGTAAACGTGTCAAACTTAGCGAAGAATACTGCAACACGACCTTGACGGGTTCCCGAGTTGTAAGAAGTTAACAATTAACCGGAAATAGCGGACAATTCAATCGTGTAGGACAGGGAATACTCTCCCCGTCCACCCCTTTCAGCAGACAAATACTGTGCTCTCTTGTTGGTCTATTAATTTGCCAACTTGAATAATTAATCACTCCTGTCCATGCCAGAAATTAATTGTCATGGTTTGGTTCCTTTTTTCCCTTTTTCTTTGTTTGCAGAAATTGGATTTGTATACTTGGTAGTAATGCTTCAGGCCTGCTTTGTGGCATGGCCTGGAAATTTGATATCCTTTAATCTAATTCTTTGTATGCATCTGCATGCACTCATAAACAGCTCCCAGCTTTACATTAGAACCCTCATCAGCTGTCTAACTTGTGCTTTGATCCAGTGAGCTTGAAAGCTGATGATCATCAATTTTCTCATTGAATACAAGCATCAAACGCTCGCTTACGCTCGCTTTGCTGCTTGCGCAGCCCCCTCTACCACCACCACCGCCTCTACCGCCCCTACCGCCCCTACCACCCTCTCCCCCTACCACCCCCTTCCACCCCCTACCACCCCTATCCTATCGCCATCATCAGATTAATCAGAGCCGTACAGGCCGCAGAGCCGGCTGTTCAATCCCATGAATTCAAAGGGGTGCACATGACATCACATGAGGTCACATTACAGTGCATTTTGCACGGAAAAGTTGGTTTTTCTATAATAAAGAGAGAGATGATATTTCTTAGCTTATAATTTGAAATGAACAGCAGCGCATGCCATGAACACAGAGACCAAAAGTGAATGTAGAGAAGAGTATAAGAAACATAAATACTGTAGAGAATGTATGAAAAGAGCAGAATGAAAAAAAGAATGAAGATTTGAAGATTGATCTGAGCCATACAGGCCAGAGAGCAGAGCCAGGCATTGAGATGCATATGATGTCACATTATACAGCATTTTTTGCATGGAAAAGTTGGTTTTTCTATAATAAAGAGAGAGAAGAGATTTTCATCTGATGAGTAAGTGAAAATCATTGTGAGAATTGCTTAAATACATTTCTGTAAGAAACTCAGATCTGTATTCATATAACACAATATTCATGATGTTGACTATTTAGTATTAAAAGATGATGTTGTCCTCCTCCTGTGCATCATCACCTGCCTCACCCCATCAACATTTCTTTGTATAGAAAAACCAACCTGCAATCTATATAAACCCACAATTTACAGCATCAGTTGCATGAATTGGGTGAATTAATGTGTTATTCCACAGCACTCTGCAACCTCTCATGCAACCCGTCTAAAATACAATCCAACCACCATGCTGAAAATTTTCAGTACCACCCACACTCCAAACATTTTACCGTGTACACGGCTATTTGGCTGGCACAGCTTCATATCAAAACGCGTCTACCCCAACCACTCCTCCTTCAATCATCGCCCACTCACGCGCAGCCGCCGTTCCTCAAGCAAGCAAACAATGGATTCCCCTCCATCCAACGCGATCAAATCCATCGCAAACAAACATACAGATACCGACACCACCAGATCCACCGACATCGACACTCTCATCACCCGGATGACCACTTACATGATCCAATGCATGCGCAACCACGACCCTTCCCACAACCCCCACCACGTCCACCGCGTCGTGCACCTCGCACATAAGCTCCTAGCCTCCGAGCGCGAAAATCTTCCCCAATCCACAACCACATACGACGACACCGTCGTCACGCTCGCAGCCCTGCTCCACGATATCGGGGATAGGAAGTATCTCCCTGCTCCCAACCCCACCACCGCAACAACCATCGTTTATGATGCACTGCTCTCCAACGGCGCAGACCCCTGTCTCGCCGCCAGAGTACGAATGGTAGTCTCTCACGTTTCCTTTTCCACAGAAATGAAAGACCCGGACCTAATCCGCCGGCTCATTTTTGAGGAAGGGTATCCGGAGCTAGCTATCGTGCAGGATGCGGATAGACTGGATGCCCTGGGTGCGGTGGGGATTGGGAGGTGTTTTACGTACCTGGGTGCTAAGGGCCAGGGGCAAGGGAGCTGGGAGCTAGATGAGGCAATTGAACATTTTGGAGAGAAATTGGAGAGGTTGGAGGGAATGATGAAGACGGAGTCTGGGAGGGAGATGGCGAGGGTGAGGACGGAGAGGTTGAGGGAGTTTAGGAGGTGGTGGGTTGACGAGAATGAAATAGGGTGAGGTTGCATATATGAAAAAGTGTGCTGAGAACGAAGGGCGGAACTGAACATTTTCACGCGAGGAATGTAATGTCAATTTACCCCATTTTGGGTGGCATGGGAATTCAACGCCTACTCCCTGGATCCAGAATTACGTATCTACCCATGAGATACATTGTTTATGAGGTACGTCTATACCCCAGTTCATCATTGATCTTGGATGTAGTTAGATCGAGTGGACCAACCCTGTACAGATACAGTGTAGCATGTTCTCGAAGATACACAAGTCAATATAATTATATCTAGCTATATATATAGACCGAAGATCCACGAGCATATAGACATCCACTGCCCAAATCCCCATTGTCGTTGGGCTCTGCAAAATGCGGGCCTGCGCGATACTCGAGAAAGGGGCAATTTAAAACCACCCAATGTCCTTGTTGGATGTGGAGCTGTTCAAGTGTTAGATGAAGCAAAATGGCTTCCAATTAAGCAATGTTCAGTTGGGGAATATAGCTGTCCGACAATGAAAAATAAAAAAAAAAAAAAAATTGTAACAGCGGTGCCAACAACTAAAATAAGCCGGAAATAAATATGCACAGATATACAAATTCACTACACACAGGTAATCTCACAAGAACAAAAAAGAAAAGGGAAAGAAAAAAATAAAATAAAAAGGAACGAAAATAGAAAGCCACACCCTTAACATCACTAAAACACGTTGATAGTGAGTGCTCTGTTAGTCGCGCAGCTCTGAGTATTAGATCTAGATCATAGTGCAGGGGTGGGCGGGGAACGGAGGGCGAAATCTACATGCGTTGCATCCAAAATATTGCGAATGCGCCAAATCCAGAGGGCCATGTCTTAAACTAGGGGTATGTTCTCTCAAGAACGCCGATGCCACCACATGAAAAATATGAAAGCAGGTCCGCACAACACCAGGATCAAATCTAGCCTTCCCGCATGCAGAAAAATTGGGGGAATAGTTAGCAAACAAAGGGAAAATGTATGATTTAAAAAGCAAAGTGGGCGCCATGTCCTGATATCGTTACCGACAAGTGTCGAAAGAAAAATGTATAACTAATGAAAAGAGAGCAGAGTAAATCAATAAGCAAGTAAACAAAGAACGGATTTACACCGCAACAATATATTTCATATCACACTCGATCCCGTGCGAAGTCCAAAACATCACAATCATCTTCAAAGAAGCCATCTTCATCAGCTGCAGCACCACCACTGATGGCGGAGGAGTAAGCTGTCCCCCGCTTCTTCCGTCGGGCTGTTATCACTACATGCTCAACGTCATCCCCACCGTTTCCGAGACTGATCAAATTCTCTATCTCACCAGCACTTGTGTTCTGTCCGATGCCAGTATTATCTTCGTCATCTTCGTCGCTGCGTGTGGCCGGGCGCAAATTGAGTCTTATCGCGGGAATATCGTTCCCAAAAGCCCATTGTTGCTGCGACTGAATGGCATCTTGCTCCTCATAACCTGGAGGATATACCATGAGATTCACTCTGCGGTCGGTATGGAATGGCTGATATGGAGCATTGGCCTCGATTTCGGCCTGGGAAAGAGGTTGAGATTTAAGCTTACCGCTCGATCGTCGTACGAGTGTAGATGAAGACATGGACCAGAATCCAGAAACTTGGGTTTCTGTCGGCATGGGCATTGGCTGCTCACGCCCGCTGGGTAACTGGGCATTAGCGGGTAAACGGATCTCTGCTGATTTACTTCCAACAACAGAATGGCTTTGTTTGTTCTTTCCCACCGAAACACTCCGTCGAATTTTGTATGATGTAAACCTGCCGCCCTCAATTACTCCCAATAAGGGCTCCTCTTCCGTGCCAAGCCAGGTGACTCGAGACCGAGCAGCGTCTCTGGAAAAAGCAGAAAGATGCAAACGGTTTTCACCCACCCGACGAAGGGTGTTAACGGTACCGGTCGCTGCGCCCATTGACTTACTCAAACCAGCAGCGACAACCTTACCACCACCACGAACCCCCGTTGCAGCTGAAATTCCAAATGCCCCTGCACCTCCTTGAAAAGCTGCTCCGACACTCGGTGCACGACCGCGTACAGCTGCGAGAATAGGTTGAGTTGTGCCACCAACAAGTTTCATGGCAGCAGAGAATGGATTACTTGGAGCGGCCTCTTCATGATCTTCAGCAGCGGAAGTATCCTTTTGGTTCATCTTGGATGGTGTAACTCGGCGCAGAGGTGGCCATTGGAATGCAACGCGGGGAAGATCATAGACATGAACAGTGCCTTTCTTAGTGATAATCGCCAAACGCTCTCCAATGGGAGCGGTCCAGATAGTGTCAACGATGCTTGACGTAGTTAGTCGGGCGTATCTCGCGACTTGTCGTACATGAAGTGCTGGGGGATTGGAGGCCACTCCGATAGAAGTCGGATCATCCGATATAAATGCCCTGGCTCTACAGTGCTTTATCTGCATGAGATCCCAAATATGCTGTATATCCCCCTTTTTACTGGCGGTTAGCAGCATGAGGCCGTTTGGTGCGAAGGAAAGGAAACTACATCCATTAGGTGGTTGGAACGTGGCTATCGGGGCGGGAAAAGCCGATTTTATATCATGCGCTTCCTCTAATCTCTTCAAATCGATGATCGATACAAGATCAGGTTCGCCTACCAGCCCTGACTGAGTATCAGGAGCATGCGTTGGAGGAAGAATATTGTATCCCGTTTGTGTATCAAATTGGTGAGAGCGGCGAGGAGTCGCTTGCGTTAGCTGAGCGTCTTTGTTCCAGTAGGTATTCCAAGTTTGGATGCTTTGATCTCCGATCCATCGAGCACCCTTGAATAGTTCTTGCGTAACTCCCCTTGCAACCTTATTGAGAAGGCTTTCTCCTTCTCCAGAATCAACTGCACACGTAATTGAAGGGCGTGAAGGAGGTGTATGACTGTCTAATCCATAAGTTTTCTTCTGGATTAGATGGGAAGGGATGGTTCCATGGAGGGACACTCGGTGCGATGCAGAGGGCGCAACAACAGCGAGCCATCGGCCACTGAGAGATAGGATTGGGGTATCTGGATTTGACGAAGGGCGGCTAGTATCGGATTGAAAGTCGTCCGGGTCATTTGTCGAGTTCGACGAGCTAGAATACCTGCGAACATCTTTCCATTGCATACTAGTCCACGTTTTTCCAAGGCACTGAAAGGAACCGCGTGACGACTGGGGGATTATACTATAAATGAAAACCTCGCCACTCGTTCCGGAAGCGATAACAACAAAATTTCCACTGGCATATATTTTCAAGTTTCCTACAGGTGACGACGCGGAAACGGGTAAGCCAGGGAACTGGTGATCGAAGCAAGGAACAGGTTTCGTTGAATAGAGAGTTGTAATGTGCTCCTGCGTTTTGAGAGAGTACACTTGAACTCGAGTCTGCACCTGTGGGGGCTCTTCACGCTTTGACCGCGAATTTGGTACTGTAGGTACTATTTCGACCCGATCTGAATCTGCGGAAGACGAAGCACCGCCATCGTCAGCTGTCTGTGCAGGACCATGTATCGATATGGCAACAAGCGGCCGACAAGATGCGAAAGGATCGATCCCAGACGCCCAGGTCAAGATCTTGGCATCCAGCACTCTTCCATTCAGTCCGTCAAGCTTCCCAACTTCTTTGGCTCTATCGCTCTCCACGTGAAGAATGTCCAGATACCCATCATGGCCAATCAACATGACATTTCCGCCAAATTTATTATTTGGTTTTGAATATGGATTCGCAAGCGCATCGAACGCACAGAAAGTGTAACCATCTTCCCCTGTAGGTCGCATATTCGGATTTGGAAAATGCGGTATGTCGATGTCAGGAGCAGAATAGAAGTGTGGTTGGGGCAAATGAGGCAAAGGAATCTGGTTCCTCTGATGACTACTCGAGGAACGTTGTCTATCCGCTGATCGATATCTCGCTGGCGTGTAATTCGGGTGGCCATTCCCATAGCTCAAGGGCCGAGGCTTCCCTAGCGGTGGTGAGGCTGGTGAAGGGCTATAGCTGAAGCCCCCCTTTTCTCCAAGTGCAGCAAAATTTGGTGGCGATTCGCCAATGCTCAGGCCATCCATAAGATCATTGGGTGGACTTTTTCCAAACGGAATCGACCTAGCCCAGGAATCAGTTCGATGGACAGAATCGCTATTGACGTGGCCACCAAACGAGTTCAAAGCATCCAAGTCTGGCGAAGTGATGTGGATTGGATGTTGCTGTACGGCAACAGGATGAGATTGCGGGTTGATATCTTCCGGGTCAGCAGCTGGGGAGGATCTAGCTCTAAGTACACGGGAGGATATGATCATCATTAGAAACATAAATTCTATGTTGAATCGCAGTTATGAGTGTTTCCAAATGGAAGGAAAAAAAAAAAACTCCAAGGAAGCGGAAAATAGGTCACATACTGGGTATCGTCCGGATACGCTTTCGTTTCAGCTTTGACTGCCCCATCCTCTCGCTCGACAACATTTCTTGCCTTTTTCTTAGATTGACGACCAAGACCTGATTGTTTTGAAGTTGTGAGCTGCTGGGACAAGGGGGACTTGGTCGCCGGGGACCGACTTTGCTGGCGCGAGGGGTTAGACGCTGGGGGCATCCAAAAGGCGGCTGAAATCTGGTCGATGAGAGGTGGCCACCAAAGGGCCGTAACCTGTGCAGGAAAGTCTGGAGCGGTATGTGAAGAGTAATATAAATAAGCGTACCACTCTCTTTGCAGTTCTCACGTCTGCAATGAGATAGCTCAGGCAGGGGACAAGAAGGTCAATTGTCAATTTGAGGCGACGACGAAACGATCAAGGAAGGACGACACTTAAGGAAGATATGACTAATAATAATAAATAACAGAGTGATATTCCAGATATGCCAGATATCGCAGAATATGAATACGGGATAGCTATAGGTATTAAGGTGTATATAAACAAGTGAGAGCGGGGAACCAAGTGGGAGGTAGGGGAGCGGATGGATAGAGGAAAGGAGCGCCAGAGCAAGCTGCTTGCTTCTCAAGGCAAACAAACGACAAGACGGTTCACTAGACACGAACAAGCTGCTGGTAGATGCAGCGAGACAGTTCCATAAGTTATTATCAAAGTAGCTGCTGTGGTAGAAAGCTGAGTTGTAGTTGTAGTTGTTGTATAGGTGTTGTAGACACGAGAGTCAGGAGAGGAGCGTCAAGAGGGGCAAGTTCGGATACCCGTGGACGATGACACATCCAGCCCGGCCCAGGTGACAAGGGACGACTTGTGATTGGCTACGCACTACTATGTCATGGGGAAGAATAGCTAGGTAAGGTAAAGTGCGTGCCAAGAAAGACTAGGCCCGATCTAGGGTGAGACTGGCAGGACTAAATAGGGCAAACAATGCAAACAACGCAACATGGCTGGCTTGCGCCTTACGTCATTTGTCCGTTCCAGACTTTCAGGGATTCAAGCAATTCTGCAGCGTACTGAATGTACCCTATTACAAAGTGCCTAGATTTGTTTGAATCCAATTTATGGTCGAACATGGTATGTGTGCTTGGTTCTCTTCACAATTTGACTTGCTCGACAGGCTTTGAATACTGAGAGAATCTACCTGCCAGGTAAAACATTGTGTGAAATGATAGAAAACACAATGCCATTCATTACTGGTCCCTCCTGCGGGCAAGGCTGAGGGGAGGTAGACCTAGTTTCCAAATGGATGGGGCTTCCCATCAGGTTTCGGATTCGTGCCCTGTAGTCTATACTATGCTTGTATTCAGAGAAAACCCTGTTTCTCGGGATTCTCAAAGTCAAATTCAAGAGCAGGTTAGGAGCCAGTGGGCAAATGGAAAATGTCAGGCTTCTCTTTCCATCTATGTGCCCTCCAAGTTCCCATTTCCCGTTGGGTTTAAGATCAGGTATCATATTATATATCGCCGAGAAAAGGTGTAGCACGCATATTTTTCATTAGAAAAAGACCAGATTCAAAAATCAACTTGATGTACGGATATCCCCTAAGTTATGCTGGTGTAGAGTGGGACTTAGATCATGTGACCGCGAGATACTGGATGCCCTGATCACAAGTATTTATAAATCCCACGTGCTGAAATGAGATGATATGGCTAGGGGAATATTGTCGGTAGAGGATATGTGGCTTTAGGCCCCAATAATCAACATAGGAACACCATCCTGGTGACATATAGCCATTCCGGTGGTAAGGCGGTCGGATAAATGGTATGTTGCTTCTGACCTGGCAGTGTATTGTCGTAGACAGAAGCGTCATATAAACATCTCCAATAGTTCGCGATGCACAAGCCCAACGCTCAAAGGTCGAACCCCTGAGTCCTGACAAATATTATATATCAATTTTCGAAACCTTTTTGCAGGATGATGCGCTCTAATCAAGTCCCATTATTAACATATATAACGATATCACAGGTTTTACTCTAGCACCATGCCAGGAATCCATCGGCGAAGGGTATGCGATCTGGCCTTATTTATGTGCAATTCTCATACCCGCTTGCGTGTATCAAACCCGACAAGAAGAACAAATGTATGAAATAAAATATCAGGGGAGATAGAGGCGTCACGCTTTCTTCTTCGATGCTACTTTAGCGGCTTTTTTCCGGTTACTTCGAATCATCACAACACCAAGGAATGAGCCCACGACCGCGGAACCGAGTAACGTCAGGATAACGGGGATACGGATTGCCCAGACACGTGGTGGGAAGAGGTCATGGAGGGGGTGGCCATCATCAACAAAGGGCTATATTTGCCAATCAAAAAAGTTGATCAGTAGGTGGTTTCGTTTTGCGACTTTGGTTTCGCTGCGTGGCCTCATCCCCCTTTTCTCCCTCAGCGGGTCGTGAAGGGCAGTTGGAATTTTCTTACCATGAGTAGAGTCCATGCCGTATAGTAAAGGTAAACAGCGGTTGCCACTAAAAGCATGCCTAATCCAATGAGTCGTCCGAACTGGTTGCGTATGAACGGTTAGGAAGATTCCTAAAGTTTATAAATGACGGTGAGGAATTACCATCCCTGCGACGAGTAGAACGTAGCACCTGTCTGGGAATTAAGTTACGAGACGCGGTAGGTTAATTCCTGGAAACGGTTGACGAAGGAATGATGTATAGATATAGAAAACGGCCACCGCCGTAGCTGTTGAGTAGAGTAGTAAGGGTGATCAAGGTCAATTCTCCCCGGCTGTCGCGACTGTAACTAAATGTCACGTGATTAGTCAATCGGCGCGCTAAAACCTTTTTTGACCAAAAGCATCATCCACCTTATGCTGCGCGCCGGATGGCGTTCACCAACTCGCAACCTCGCTGCGCAAACATCGCTCTCAGCCACGCGAGCGATTATAATACCTGAATATGACTTGGGCATAACGACAAACATATCACCTATTGCTCGAAAATGGAAGATCCAGTGATGCTGCAGTCAGCAGTTCGCCTGCCTACACCTCCCCCCGGCACCTCTTACTCTCCCCAGCCTTCAGGGACTCGGAAAAGGTCACCACCCTCCCGCTCCCCTTCACCTGACCGACGTCGTTCTCCCCCAAACGGCACTTCTCGGGATGGGCCTGACCAGCCACATGAAGAGTCGGCTCGTTATATGGAGAGGGAGCAGCAACTTACTGAACGGCTTCGAAAACGCGAGGCTCCCGCAAAGTCTCTAACTGAAGAAGAGAAGCAAGCTGCTGCGAAGGCAGAATATGAAAAGCTGCTGAATATGCGCTCCGGTGGAACATATATTCCTCCAGCAAAACTCAGAGCACTCCAAGCTCAGATCACCGACAAGACCAGCAAGGAATACCAACGGATGGCATGGGAGGCCCTGAAGAAATCCATCAACGGTCTGATCAACAAAGTCAACGTCTCAAATATCAAGTTTATTGTTCCTGAGCTTTTTGGCGAAAATCTCGTCCGCGGAAGAGGTCTCTTTTGCCGAAGTATTATGAAAGCTCAAGCTGCCAGTTTGCCGTTTACACCGATATATGCTGCAATGGCCGCGATTGTCAACACGAAACTTCCACAGGTCGGGGAGCTATTGCTAAACCGACTCATAGTCCAGTTCCGCAAGGCCTTCAAGCGAAATGACAAAGCTGTATGCATCTCATCAACAACATTTATTGCCCACTTGTGCAATCAGCAGGTAGCGCATGAGATGGTAGCGGCTCAAATTCTCCTGCTTTTGCTACACAAACCTACGGATGATAGTGTGGAGATTGCTGTTGGCCTTACAAGGGAGGTTGGTCAGTACTTGGAGGAAATGGGCGGGCCTATCGCGCTGGCTGTGTTTGACCAGTTCAGGAATATCCTCCACGAGGCGGATATTGATAAGCGCGTACAATATATGATCGAAGTGTTATTTCAAGTCCGCAAGGATCATTACAAAGACAACCCTGCTATCAAGGAAGAGCTAGATCTCGTGGAGGAGGAAGACCAGATTACCCATCGCGTTAGTCTGGATGATGAAATCGATGTCCAAGATGGCCTAAATATCTTCAAGTATGATGCGCAGTGGGAGGAACATGAGAATGCATATAAGAAGCTAAAAGCCGAGATTCTGGGCGAAGGTAGCGATGAGGAAGACGAGGACGGGTACGAAACAGATGAGAGCTCCGATGAAAATGAGGAAGACGATAAGGACCAACAAATGGATATTAAGGACCAGAGCAATACAGATCTTGTTAACCTCCGAAGGACGATCTATTTGACTATTATGTCGAGTATTGATTTTGAAGAATGTTGCCACAAACTCATGAAGATCACTCTGCCACCAGGACATGAATCGGAGCTACCGTCCATGATCATTGAATGTTGCTCGCAGGAACGGACTTATTCCAAGTTTTATGGTTTGATTGGGGAGCGTTTTGCGAAACTCAACCGTCTTTGGGCCGACCTGTTTGAGGAGGCCTTCATCAAGTATTACGATACCATCCATCGCTACGAAACAAATCGCCTACGGAACATTGCAAAATTCTTCGGGCACATGCTCAGCTCGGACGCGATTGGCTGGCACGCACTGTCTATTATTCATCTTAATGAGGAAGAGACAACATCTAGCAGCCGTATCTTTGTTAAAATCCTCTTTCAGGAACTTGCTGAGGTTCTTGGAATGGCGAAACTTCAGGGAATCTTCAGAGATGAAATACTTCAACCTAGTTTTGAGGGCTTGTTCCCGACTGACAATCCGAGAAACACTCGCTTCTCAATCAATTACTTCACTAGTATTGGTATGGGTGTTCTCACAGAAGGGATGCGCGAGCATTTGAAAAATCTGCCCAAACCCACGATTCCGGCGCTACCGGCGCGAGAAGCAGAATCAGACTCAGAGTCAGTCAGCTCATATTCAAGCTATTCGTCATATACTGGTTCTTCCAGGTCCCGCTCGTATTCTCACTCTCGTTCACCTTCTCGTGGCCGAAGACGGTCAGCGTCGTTCTCTCGCTCTCCCTCATCTAGGGGAAGAAGCTTCAGCAGAAGCAGGAGCAGAAGCCATAGCTACACACCATCCCGTTCACCGACCCCTCCGCCGAGGCGTCGGGGTAGACAACCTTCATACTCTCGGTCGCCATCTCCCGCCAGCTATAGGTCTCGATCTGTATCATATTCTCCCGACCGTCGCCGCTCTTCGCCGCTCAGACGACCAGATTCGCGTGGTAAGGGCAAAGCAGTCGCTGTGAGGGGAGGCAGCAGACGCTCTCTATCCCGTTCAATCACCCCTCCCCGTCGCGGACGGGCCAACGGCGGCCGCGACAGGTCGACAAGCTACTCACGCTCCCCGTCCCCTCCGCCTCGCTCAAGTAGAGGAAGGCGACGAAGCCCTCCGTCCTTGTCGCGCTCACGAATTCCCCTGCCTCGCAAACCACACAAGGATAGGCGACGATCCCCCTCTCGATCCGCCACACCACCTCCTCGCGCCAGGGCGCACAGGGGCCGGAGCAGGAATAGACACTCGTCCAAATCCCCGTCACGCTCCCCTTCTCCCTCCCCGCGCTATAGACATAGATATAGCCGGTCTCCTGCATCCGTTTCTCGTTCTCGATCCCCTCGCCGCTCGCGGACTCCACCAAGACGTGCACGTCCGCGACGTGATAGTCGCGGAGGCGGTCGTGGTGGCCGGAAACGGTCGCTTCCGCCTGGTGTTTCTCGGTCCCGGTCCAGATCTCGATCCCGATCCCGACCACGGTCTCCGGTGCGAACAGCACCATCCGGTGGACGCGCTAGGGCATCTGATTTCTTGTAATCGTATCCATTATTTTATTCTTTTCACTTTTTTATTTTCTTTCTTATAATGTGGCTTCTTTGGAGGGAAAAGAGAAATATTAAAGCTTTCGTTCGCTATTGGCCTATGGTTAACAAGACATACTAGTATTAGAAGAATAAACGATGTACGTTTTGAGGTTTTTATGGTCTGCACTTTTGAAATCAATGTTTCCTTCCCATTATTTGCTCTTTTGATTCTTCTTGTGCTTGACATTCTGCCGTTTTCATAGCTTGAAGGGTGTTTAGTTTGGTTGGCGCATATACTCCATGTTCGGACATAGCTATTTCTCGTGACACGGCTAGTCAACATGGTCTTGCTTTTTTTCCTCGTTGTACTAAAACTAAACAACTTGAGTCCTTTTTCGTCTTCTTTTCCTGTATTTTATTTTCTGTTGTTATTTTTCTTTCTTCAGAAAAAGAGAATGTTATGTTTAATTGGGGCTTGTCATCATCTATATCTATATTTTACAACCTGACATTTGAAATAAGAAATCCATGTGATCAAGATGGTTTCCTTTATTATTTTTATTTACATATTATTTTCTCTTATTTCCCACTACATCTCTCCACAAAGCATTTAAATAGACGTCTAGGTTCTCTAGATGACACGCTCGGAGGAAGTGGCAAGAAGCAACAGCAATTTTTCATGCTTTTAATGCTACACAATTGAATTCCAATACAACATGGAAAATTTATCTGAGTTTTTCCTGTGGAACTTGGGTTCCCCTTTGGGAAATGAAGGAGAGCGGGAGACCTAACAATGTCATTGATGTTGACGTGTGGCCAACGCGACGTAATGAAGGGCCTGAAAACTGACATGCCCGTAGTGTTGTCTAGTGGAACAGGAAAAAAAGGGTTAGATTTACCGCAGTTCTATTCTTTTCTAACATGATGAGAAAGGGGCTGAAGTATAATTGAGGATGAAGCAGGAAGTCGGTTTGTGGATAATTCTACTGCCTAAGTTAAATGTATAAATTATGCTACTAAACACAACAACGGAGGGTTAAATGGTTTCTGAAATGGGCGTTGGGGTATTTTGAATGGCTTGCGCTGCTATGGCTGACTATGGCAGGTTGGCAAATTCAGGGTTTGTGCTTGTTATCCTTAGATGTAAACTGAGGGGAAAATGATATCAGAGAATAGAACAAATAATAGAATTGCAGAACTGAAAAAAAATGGGGGAATAGATGAATCATAAAAGCAGAAGATGATAAGTGAAGATGGGAAAAGAAGAAAAGAAAGCAAAAAAAGTAATAAACCCCTATATTCCATCCTAGAGACGAAGCGAGTTCATTAAATGGAAGATAAATGAATAAGAGTGAAAGATCGTCCAAGTAGATCTCATCCTAGGGCATATCGTGTTCATAATGTAGATTAGAATTTTGCCATATTCCGCGATCAGTTGATTACCTTCTCCTCGCATCCCAACTGACCTGCTCCCCTGTCTGCGCTGATTGAATCACCCTCAACCCGTGTTCCCCCTTCTTTCAGAAATAGATGGTTTTGCTAAAACCGTATGCAAGCGAGTGAATGATCTCTCTCAGGGAGTTCGTGTATTTCTCATCGATGATGTCCTTCACAGGACAAAAGCAGTGGTGGGTACGTCGATCATCGCCTGTTCTCATAAATTTAACTGGCTCGTTTTACAGCCGAATCTCCTGGATTCTCCGGGAAAGGTCAGCTGGATGTGCAACGATAGATTAAATATGGGCATTAGCATATGATAAATAACTTTTCGGATGTAGAATCGAGGGTGACGGATAGGGTTGGGATTCAATCCCGGGGAATAGATTGAAAGGAGGCAGCATAAGAAGCAGGCAAGACATACCTTCAGAGCCAACCGTCTCGCCGCTAGCTCGTCCAGCTTTCAATCCAACCCTTGACCCATTGACTACCAGCGGTTCGCTTCTCTTTGGGGAACCATCTTGACTAGATCTGGGAGAAAGATCGGTCGAGTCCGTGGGTGACTTCAGATCTGTCGATATTGGCGCTGCTGTCACCGCCTTCCCGCCATTCCCGTTGCCGACGGCCGTCCCAGTTTCCATCCTACTTCCACCATTTCCATTTCCATTCTCATTGAGATTTTTGTTTCTAGCAATTCGATATGGTGTAAATACCGCACCATGGCCATTGATATCGACCCAATTACCACTACCACTCCTGCTTCCTCCACAATCTCGGTCAAATCGAATTCGAATTCTGGACCCTTTGAAATACGAATTGTCAAGTAGGGTGACAGCTCTCCGCGCCTCTTCCTTGGTTCGAAAAGTAGCAATTGCATAGGCTCTTGGGTAGCGACCTCCCCCTTTACGATCTTCACGAACATCGCATCGCTCCACGATACCAGCCGTACGGAGATGGTCCTTCAAATTCTGACAGGTGGTGTCGATAGTAAGATTTTGGATGAAAATGCTGCATGAATGTACACCTGAATCATCGCGGAACATGCGAATGTTGTTATTGTTGTTAGTTAGGCGAGGCATATTGGCACTATGAAGTTCGTAAAGGGGCTGGATGCACAATGATGTGGAGTATCGGTGGATTGTAGCTGGTGAGTGTTCGAATTGCTGACCCAGAATTGTCGTTTGCATTGGGAAATGAACATCGCTTGGGTAAATTAATGGAAAGTGGTAGGCTAGCGGGTCCGTCACAAGGGGGACGAGGGGATGCTGATGCTGGGCGTGTAGGTTTACAGGAGTGGTGAAGTGTGTATAGTCTAATGAGGTAGCGTAAGGCTGGGGGGCCGGGAAGTTCCTGCGCTTGTTTGTGAGCCTATATGTTTCTTAATAAAAAGTGGACAAAGGGATATTAGCTCTCCAAAACCAAACATACTCAGGGGGCATAGTGCTCGTCGGGGAGGAGACAAGCGGTGCGCATCTTGGAGGACTCGAGTATCCACCCCCAGCATATGGTATTCGGCTTACTGGTAGACTCTTGGTCGGGCCAGCAATGGGTTCGGTCGGCGCACTTGCGAGCGAAAGCGTTACAGTCAAACTATTACCATTCCATCCGTTCGTTGACAGCCTGTCTTTTGGGGTTTGTCAGAAAAAGCCCGTTGTGATGGGCGATTTACAGGCCAATACTTACTATAAGTGCGCCACGCTTCGTCTTCATTTTTAACTATTATTTGACCAAGCCCAGTTGGATGGCCGTGGCTATCATCGTAAACTACAGCCTGCCGTATATGCAAAGCAGTTTGGCGAACAAGATCTTTCAGTTCCTGCCATCGACATTGAGGCGGAATCTATCCCACAAAGGTCAGATAATCAACACTTCTTTCCCCCCAAAACTCGAAATGGACAGTGAGGCTGAGAAATAAGAACAGATGAAGCTTACACCTTGGAGAAATACGACATATTCTTCATCCGTTGACCGAGAATTCCTCCGGCCATCTCGTTGCCTTGGTGAAATCGGCATGATTATCCTTCGGAAGCTAAGAATCCCAAATCTGATCGCATATATATACTAAATACTTTTCTAAAACGATCAAGGATGAATTATTTTAGATCAAGAGACTCCGAATGCAGTAAGGAAAGCCCATTCGCGGGCGTTTGGTTTAGAGCTTACCTCTGTGGGTGGCGGTTTGCTAGTTGTTGGGCCCGAGAACAAGCCCAATGAATGAAGTTCCAAGCGGTCGGTCGCAAAGAAAATGCACGATATTTGCTCCGAAATAGTAATATCGGACGGTCTTAAGTATATGTGTTGCGGTTTCCGACGCTGGCGCCCTTCCATCCGTGACTCCAGAGGGAAGAACTGGGGCGGGGAGGTTAAGACGCTTTCATGAACAAGCAGAGCAGGTCGGAGCTAGCAGCGCAATAGGAGAGTCCCAGGCGGAGAGAGTAGAATCAAGAGAAGGGCAATGCAACACATAAAAGAAAATCGTATGACGGGAGATACACTGTGGCCAAGGCTGGCTGTTTCGAAACGTCAGCGAGTACGGATAGGGTATACAAGCAAATGTCTGTCAAAACGTGAGGAAATGGCCGCAGAAGGACGGAGCTACCCCACGGAATGTATAAAAAAGGGCTCAAAGATCGGTACTCTCGAAAGATGATCCTTTCTAAGGAGGGGTTCTGTCTTCGGTGTTTTTGCGGATTGCAGGTAGCCAACCCTTTCAAGATCAGGATATTTCAATACCCACTACAAAATAAGGCTATTCGGTGGGAATGGCGGGATGGTTGGCAGCAGCCACAGTGCGTTTATCGTCAAATGAAAGGCAGCTAAATATTATTCGAAAAATAAGGCAACCCTCTCCAACTCTAGTTCCCTTTTCATGCATCGAGCAGTCAGTTTATTAGAAAACAATATTTGTGATCCCCCTTCAAGGGTGGTGCCAAAGGTTGTATACGGGCATGTATAAAATGGTTTCGCAAGGCATTGAGGTATGAAATAATAACAAGAAGTGACAAGCTAGGTATTTGCCAAAGATCAGTATCACATCTTACCGTGATGGATGCACAAACACATATCATTCGGGGGAATCCGTTTTTGCAGCCACATTGACATAATCCTCACAATTCCATTACGTGCGGAGGCTTTTTGCAGCGTTACCAGTTCCCGATGCCTGACAGGAACGGAGGGGAGGACGAATGAGGAGTGCCCATACCACTGGCAAGTATGTGGCCTGTCATTGGTTATGCAAGAGCCAAAGGGGAAGGAGTTCTCGCTGAACATCAGAATAAAAAGAAAAGAAAAAGAGAAAACACGCCTATCCACAAGTTTCCAGGCGGTGCTGAAAGAGGCACTTTGACAAAACCATCTTGATCAACTTTGAAAAGCTAGTCCTCCCGAGCGAGATTGGAATCTGTCAGTCTATTTTGAGCCTTGACCAGAGTGTGGGTGATATGGCTGATGCTCGCCTGTTTCTTTGCTTTTTCCTTAGGTTAGAACCAAGACAAAGAACTGCTGTTATCGGCCAAGAGACCTTAGCAGATACGGAAGTAAATCGACTGAGTCGGGGCTTGCCCTGATTGTTAGAGTTTCCCGGTCTGTGATTTGACGGATATAAAAGCTTCAAACCCCTCAAATCCACCCTCCAGAGAAGTTTGGCAACAGCAGCGACCAGTAGCCGGACGTCAGGAAGGGAAGTGATCATGAAGTCAGCAGGTTCCGACCAAATCCTCACAAGAATTAAAGATTAAAACAGGTATCCATTTGCTTAGACCAGGGTCGTACCACTGGTGTTCTGGAACCCTGAAATGGCTGAAAGTAAGAATAATAATGGGATGAAATCGATCTTAGATCAATCGACCGATGATCTCGTTTTGCTTTTTCTTTCTTTTTTTTTTTTTTTTTTTTTCCTTTTGGGTGGGACGATCTTCTGGGAGGTCCCAGTCCGCCAGGGTTCATCTGTTGGCACTGCTGTGCGCCATCCAAATGCAGTGCATATGAGTATGAGGTGTCTAATACATGCACGGTGCGGTGCCGCACACATATCCGTGGATGACTATCCTTCTTTTACTCCTCCCTCCCCACCCCATTTGGCAGCGCTTAAATGGGACGTGGGAAGCACGACGTATATTTCTGACGCAAAAAAAAAGTACACCTGCGACGACAGAAGAGCTTTAGTGGGAGGGAGACACCAATTCAGGGGAAAACACAGTATGGCGTTTCGCAAAGAGAAGGAGGAAAAACAACATGTCTCGAAGTTATCTGAAAAAACCGATGCTGGGGATTCGTAGAAATCAATGCCTGGGGATAGGATAGGCCTCTTGCCCAGGGTTGGTGCTGCAGAAACTGGGATTAACAAGTAAGAACGAATCAATAGTCCCATCAGCAAGCCTCGAGCGGCGGCTCGAGGGGAGATGCCCATCATGATGCACAAACGTCTCCCCAACGGGCTAATAGTCTGGTGGTTCAGGAAATGCGCCAAAATGGTCGGAGGTGAGGGCGAAGACAATAATAATATTAATGGGTCTATTACTTTGTCCCGCAGCAACTCTAGCGGCATAAATATGCGAGTAGTCACCAACGGACAGGGCCCATCCGCATGCCAAATTTGATGTCAGGTCAGGGCGTGAATCAGCGAGCACCGAATTCCAATAACCTTTGCGCCTCAAATATGCTCGAGGTGTCGTCGACAAGTTGTTAGCGCGTGTGTTTCGGCTTGGGACTCCTAGTCGGCCTCAGGCCCAACTCGCGGATATGATTCCAAATGATATCTTAATTTCGCTCGCAGTGTGGCAACGAGACGGTTCTGCAGATATATATTGGAGCGGCAAGTAGCCGAGTACATCGCTTGAAGAGTAGATCATTTACTCATACAGTCTATACAGCCCACCCATGTAGATGTACAGGAACCTCTTGCCACTGTGCAGGCCAAATGTGGCTGGCTGCCGGGGCGGTGGAGCTGTCGGGGTTACGAGAAATGACAAGTCACAAAGGCTGCTCATTGCTTTCCAGGTCCCAGGATCGTACCAGGACTTCAGGAGAAGAAGCTGGTGAACCGTTCCCCGGTTGCTGCTGAAGAAAGATCGCGGAGTATATGCACGTACGCAGCATATGCCATGTCATTTCTGAGTGGTTGCCAATATTTCCAAGGTTCCAGCTCAGGCTAAGTTACTCTCCAATTGCAAGATCTTGAAGTGACTTGCAGCACTAGTGAAAATAGGAGCGCAGTTAGGTATCCGAACTGAACATTGCCTTAGAACCCTTCAGACGAACAATCGCCATCACTCATTTTTCTTCATCTTATCCGCCGATCATGCTGCCTCCCGCTTTAATTCCCCGCTCCTTGAGCGCTTATTTTGGACTATTTTCCAGGGCCTAAAATGTTGGATGTTCCCCTTCATTACACATGCACCTTGTTCTACGCTCAGCAAATTGAATCCATTTCTATCTCTTGTCTCCCCAGGGACGAACAGAGGGCCCCCAGCGTCGAACCAGAATGCTGATGCGGCGATGCAAATATCCTGAAGCCGCTCTTATACTCAGGACGCCCGCACGGGCAACGAACGAGTATATTCCAGACTAGACTAGCTGACCCCGCGAGGTCCTGAGGCTTCCAGTCGATCGAAAAGCCCCGGGCGTTCCGAAATTTGGGATGTGACGCTGCTCTCCATAGCCTGACCACCAACAAGCTGCTGTTATTGGACTCGGACGGATCTTCCGCTTGAGCTGAAACGACACCAAATGAAGATCCTCATTACCGCTCAGGACGCCCACCGGCGTTTGAATTCTGGGGTATCAAACCCTCAGGAGGTAGGTGGAACAGTAGCATGAGGAAATACGCATATGTCTGGCTACTAGTTAAGATTCTAACGCCTTGATGGCCGCATCTACGCTAAATAAGTGGTTCATTCAGTCCTGAACGTTGTCAACCGGGCTAGAAATCATGCAAACTCAATAAATCGTCTGGTTATTTCTTCTCCATCCTTTGTTCCCCCCCTTTGCTATCATCTTGATTTCACAGCCCCCCACGTATCTCTCGCGGATAGATACTCTTTGATAAACCCAAATACAACGCAGAATGTTGTGGTGGGAGTGGGACGCGATCATCTCATTGATAGCACTGATGTGATGAGCGAACCGTCCGCCGCTAAACTACGATTTAACAACCTGCTACATATTATTATTACCGAGCGGAAGGATGCCTGATTGCTTATTGGAGTCCAGATTTATCTTCATTCTTAATACAATTATAAAAGAGCATCAAACATCAAAATTTTGTTACCGCGTTTAATATACAATCTAGACTAATTGTTCGAATAAGCCCGGCTTTCTTGTGCCATTCCCGAGGAACAAAACAAAAATGACCAAAAGTCAATGTCAAAATGACAATCACCGAAGGGGATCCCAAACCCACCATCTCCACAGCCCGATGGTTCCCTACAGAAGCACTATAAAAATGCCGGACCCCCTCACCATAAGGCGGCATACAAACCCACCAAAACCCCAGCCAACGGAAATAAGCTTCGCGCTCCATTAAGTCCTATCCAACGACAAATAAGTTGCTCCGTCTCCTCCCTCGCGCCCACCTTGACCACCGTCGGCTCCGACTCGACCACCTTCGCCTGCTCCAGCAGTGCCCTATTCGTCTTCGTCATCGCAATTAGGGTGAACGGGACAATGGATAAAGTGAGCACAGCGGCAGCGCAGTATAACGTTGCTGCGTTTTCAGCTGTCTGGCGGAAAAGGGCGGTTCCGGAACGGACGGACCAGGCGAGGTAGAAGAATGCGGCGGCAGTGGTGAGGGCGATGGGTGGGTTCTGTACTGAGCCTAGGTGATAAATGTTTCGCCATAGTTTTGCAAGTGTAGAGGGGGGTAAGTTGCTTTCTTTGGCGGAGGTGAGGAGGGAGGGTGCGACGTTTAGGCTGTAGGCGGCGATGTTGCCTGGTCGATCGATATATTAGCATTTGACACATGTGGTTCTTTTTTTTGGCGCATTTGCCTTTTTGGATATGATGCGTATATATGAGATGTTGATATAATGATCATTTCATCTCTCCGCATTATCCATCAAGCAAACGTCATTGACGTCTTTGCTTACCGGAGAGCCAGGCTGCGCCAGATAAGCCAACTGCTTGGGCGACGCGGAAAGCAACTGGACAAGAGGCCATGTTGGTGGTCATTGTTGAGCCTGGTTTAAAACTAGAGCTGATGATTGTTTCTCGTCGAGCAGAAATTTTTGCTGGAATACTTTCCAGAGATACTTTAGCTTGGGTGGTTGATGGCGCTGCTCTTTTATTCTGCTGCCTGGACAAACAATATCCAGGAAAAGTTAGTATTATGACGTCACTAGGCAGGCCATGAACTCCGCAAAGCTAACCTTTTAAAATTTTGCGTATGGTCTTTGCAGTGTGTGTCGCATCAACATATCATATCGTCAACAGGCGCAATTCCGCGATTCTTTGGCTATCAGAAACATTCGTGGCCGTTAACCTCTTTTTTTTTTTTTTTTTTTTTTTTTTTTTTTTTTTTTTTTTTCAACATCACAATCACCTCGAACCTCGAATGCATCTCAAGGATTCCTTTTCTAACTAGACCTCAATTCTCTTTTGAATGACACACAAACTTCTACTCCCACCACACGCGATTTGAAATTGAATATATCCATTACAATATTTTTTCTTTATTATTTGTATGTGAATTGCATGGCGATAGAGGATATGAATATAAAATCAGCTCTCTGCTGTTTGCATGACATGACATTGTGTTTTTTGCACCACCCAGCTCCCCTCTTACAAATGACGTTTATTGTTTCTTTTTTTTTTTTTTTTTTTTTTTTTTTTCGGTCTCACGCACGAGAGATTGTAATAAGATGCCCCCATGTCTGCTAGGCGAGAGAAAAAGGAAAAAAAAAAAGAAAAGGAGAAATGAAACTAAACTAAAACATAGAAATAGGTGGTATGGTATGTATTTGAGTAAACCTGAGAGATATAGTATGTAAAAAGTCGGAAAAAAGAATTAAAAAAAAAAAAAAAAAAAAAAAAAAAAGATTTTGCCATCTGTCCCGCTGATCACTGATCTACCAAATATCTGAAACTAAACTGGCAAAATCCCATCTGTGGATCTCAAACAGTTGTTTTGCGGTGAGAAGAGAGGGCAAAGTCAGTCAGCTGATGATGGTGCGGCTGTGTGATAATATTAATGTAACAACCGATGCGATGGATGCGGAAGGCGTCAGTCAATTGGGCGATGATTACCACCGGGAGATCACGAATGAGGCCGAAATGCAGCATGGGAGTTTCTTTCCCTTTTCTTTCCATTTCCTTTTTGAAAAATTGCTAATATCAGGGGAAAAAGGGTAGCAAAAATAAAGCCCGGACAAGTTAAGTTGTTGGAGCTGTCACATTCTTTTTTTTTAATTTTTTTAATATTTTTTTTTTTTTTTTTAAATGCCTAGAAGGTTATTTTTTTGGCGCGATGATATTCATCTCGGTTTATAAAACTGGAATAGATAAGAATGGCTGAAAAATAGGCTGAGCTGAGGCCTGATCTGAGACCTGCGGACTGAGTGCTTTTGGCTTGTTTCCGAATACAGTAACCGAATGCTTGGTTGCAGGATCCCGTGACGTTGTGTTTCGCCGTAGCTTATTTCCGTCACGACCGGCCCTGGAGTTTCGGAATAGTCGCCGACAGAACAAACACAACACGCAAAACCCCGCCATTCCCCCAATCTCCGGAGTCTGTGATAGGCTGGGGAGTTTTATAGATATTTGATTTTTTTTTTTCTTTTTCACCGCCAGCGACGAAGAAGGGAAGAAGTATATCATCATAGGGATATATGTAATAGGCGGTGAGTGATAAATTTTGAAATTCAAATGGCATTACCAGTTGCGAGGATGGCTGGGCCCCGTCGGGGATGGTTCGCGCGGAGATTGGCGGAGGGTGAAGCTCGAAAAAAAGGCGAGGGCGACATGCGAAAAACGTTGCTGTCGCGTGAGGGGTAGTTGGTTCGGTCTCCAACGGCCGTTTCTCTTTTTGCTTTTTGTTTTTTTATTTGTTTTTGACCCTAGGCAGTTGGGTTGTCAAATCCACCCCCCTCCCTTACATTTCACATTGATTAGTATACAATTGGTCAGGCATACTTCTTGTCATTTTGCCTTGGGGTGATAACGATGGCATTCTCGTGTTTCGATTGGCCGGTATCAGTGAGTTTGTCCTGATCTGAGGATTGAGGATTCGCAGATTTCAATCTCGTCCAAAATATTCCTTTTTTGATATTTGGTTGGCCTTTTCTTCCATTGTTCCCTATCGTCCATCGGCGGGGCGACAAGGTAGATTTTGTCTCCTTTGAAATGAAAAAGCTACTGGATTTGGTTCGAGGTAAGAATTTTCTGTCGTGTTGGTTTGAGATTTTTTGGAGGTTGTTATATTTTTCATGCTGCTATTTTGTTGCGCGTAGAAAACGTATGGTTGATGTTGTTGTTTCTTTTTTGATATGGCCCTGTCAAGTGGTTGGTTTCCCTGTTGCAGGGCTCCTCTCAGCGATTATTGAAACCAACCATCGACGCGCAGCGGCCGCAGTAGTAAGAGTTGATACCGAATCGAACAACGCCGCAGGAGGAGGAATGTTCGAGGCAAAGAGATCGCTGGCATCTTGAGCAGCGAACAATGTCGAAGGTGGACGCAGCAGGGGTTGTAGAATCAGAGGAGGTGCGGGGAGTCAGTCCTGCGCCCGAGGTATTGGAGGATGACTCTTGCATTGGTGCTGAAGTTGAGCTCATGGTCGATCGGGGGGATGGTGATTGGTCCAGAGAGACGTCGGGATGTTGCTTGGAGAGATATCTGAAGAGTATGTGAGAGGCGACGGAGGAGTGATAGAGAGTCAGATAGAGCGAGATTTGAAAAGGAGAGAGAGAAGAAGTGTTGTCGTTAGCAAGGAGGACCTTGGAGAGGAGTAGTAATATAGCACTGTAAACCAAGCAGGGAGAAAAAGCGTCGGCACTGGACACTACTTGTACCCAGGGGATTCGGCAATGGCGGTGTTCAGGCGAGCAATGCCCAGGGCGGTTTTCTGGTCAAGATCGAGCAAAACAGGGCGGGCCAAGCATCGACAAGGGGTGGAAAAGGCGGCTGGCAGGAAAAAAGAAAAAGCCTAAAAAACTAATAAAAGACTAAAAGACTAAAAAAACAACAGTCAACAACGGCCTTGATCCCTGACTGCTGAATTTTGTGTGTCTCTCTCTCCCTCTCTCTCTCTGTGTGTGTGTGTGTTTTACTTGTTCTTCTTCCCGGCCTGACAAGCAAGCCGCCTCTTCTCTCGCTGACCAGTGGAGCCAGATGTGCGGCCGTAATGCATGCAGGGATTTTCTGATTCTGATTTCGTGCAGGTGTCGGGCTGCAAAATCTACAGCATAAGCAAGCGAGGAAACGAAAGGAGATGACTTTGTTTCAATGTGTCAATGTTTCAATGTTTCAGCGTTTCAATGGGGCTGTGGGTGGGTACAAGAAGTAAATAGGGCGTCGGCGGGACTCTATTTGAGAAAATTATTTTGCTGCTGATGAGATTTGGTGGAGGGTTTGAACAACATTAATAAGTCCAAGGGGGAGGAGGCGGTTATAAGAATAACAGGTTAACAACAGGTTAACAGGTTAGTTAATGATAAAAAGTTGGTTAGAGAACGAGAAAGCTGTCAGAAGCGCGTGGGCGACAAGGCAGCGATAAAACACGATAGTTTAAAAAAAAAAAAAAAAAAAACCAGTTAAATAAACAATAAACCCACCAAAACAAATCCAAGACTCTCTCGTCTCTGGCCGGCTCTTTGGGGCAAGCAAGAATTGGATATCCTGGGGAGGACAAAAATGACGAGCATCCGCAGCCAGTCGCAGGCAGAGGCGCGGCCGAGAGTGGAGACGCCGGATGAGCAACCAGAAGACGACGACAGCAGAATCGAGTCAGACAACGGCGAGTTGCCCGTTGCGAATCTGGATGCCTGACTGTCGTAGCATCTTGTGTTTCATAAAATTCACCTATCTCTTGTTGATATTTATCATTTTGAATTATTATTCTCAGGCATTTGTTTTTATAAATCACTTAACCCCAATCTCGCAACCATGGTTCAGAATGTAAATAAAATCGAAGCGTCATGGATTGGGGTCGGTTACTTATTATTAATTAGATGTTTACCAAAAAGTACTTTTTTGGTTTCTTTTTAAATAAACTTCGCTCGAGATTTGCTCCAATCTCAAATGAATAATAATAAATAAATTTATGATCAGTTGTCGTCGAAAGGGCGCCGAGGTGAAGTTCCACTCCACCCCCCCCCCCCCTTCTCCTCCCCCTCCGGTCATCTAGCCTACAGAGCCATCACGCTCGTTCTCAGGCCTCGTGCAGCGCGCAGCAAAACATCCAGACAGAAGAAACCAGCGCTGTGTTTTGCTCTGGGTGAGAAAGCATCGCCCTGGCAAGCTGGCCCGCGCCGCAATGCGGGCCCTCTCTGTGCGTCGGGTGGCCATTCGGGCCTGAGACTCACTCAATTCTGGCGTTTTGAGTGGGCTGTCGCTCAGGCTTCGCTGTTTACTACCTAGTTAGTTACTTACTTACTAAATTCTCAAAATTACCTAGGTAGCCAGCCAGCCCCTTGATGCATGCATGCATGTCTCGAAGGGTTGTTGGAGGCGAGGGAAGGGGAGGGGAGTGGGGGGAGTGAAAAATTATCTGAGGACCCTGAAATAGGGGGAAAACATGGCGATGCAGGATGACAACACTGTACATAAGCATAAGCGTACATAACTAAAACACAAATCCCGCATGCGGCGGCGGCGACGGCGGCGGCGGTGTTTTCTGGCGGTCCAACAACGCAGGAAGAGGAAAAAAAAGGAAAAGTGGAAAGTCGAAAAGCATTAGGCAACCTAAGTAAATAATAATAATAATAAAAACAAAAAGGTGTGCTGCCCGCCAGTAGTGGCTTGCTCCCTGAAAGAGGTAAAAAAAAGAGAAAAGGTCTTGCTTTCCTGCCAATTCCCCGACCGATGGCTGATAGCTACGGTGTCTTGGGTGTTTATTCTGTCTGTTCTTCGCTTAAACAATAGTTACGCCCACAGCCTCACTCTTCGTTCCGCCGACTCCCTGTGAAATCTACACCGTAATCCGTAGAGGATGTGACTCAGAATCCCCGGATCGCGAGATACAAAAGGCAGAGTACACCGAGGATTCTCTCCGCGGATCCCGGCCGGCATCTTTCTTGATGTTTGATGTTCGTCGCTTATTAGAGTTGTATCAAAGAGGTCGTTGGATCAGAGCAAGGTATGTATCAATAAGAATGAGGGGAGGAAAATATAACTATATATAGAATTAAAAATAATGAAGAAAGGAAAATAAATGTTTAAAACCTTAAAAAAACACCCCACTTCTCTCCTCCCCTGCTTCTCCTCTGCATGCCCCCAATATTTCTTATTATTCCAGTGCCACTGTATGTATGTACTTGTACTAACCCTGCACTGTGTCTTGTTGAGGAAATAACCCGCTCTCACACCCACCATCAATAATATTCAAAATCCCACGCTTTAAAACTCCCGCCAATTAATGCCTGGATCACGTGCAGAGATCCCTTCTGTAGATTTGCTGGGCGCTTTTGGGGATTCTGTTCTCAAGATTCCGGGATAACTAATAAAGGATATATAATTAATTGCCTAGAGGACGAACCCAAGCGCAGTCAAGCTGTTTGGTTTGCATCTAATAAAGCTAAAAACTACCCAGATTTTCTCCACTCGCTCCACCTTTTGACAGACACGGGGGAAATCCATGGATGTGAGGTGGGAAATGGAGGAGGCGAAATGGAGGAGGCGAAATATAGATATAATATATGTCATTCAATTTGTTCAGATAAAGTGACTATCTCATTTATGAATAGGCTTGAAGAGAAGTTCAAAGTGATCAATCATAGCAGGGTGAAAACACTTGATTCAATCTATTCTTCACAAAAGTCAATAATATGATGTCAGTCAAAATATGAGTCTGTGATTAAATATATTACTTACTATGATTTGTTCTTTTAATGCAATGAAGAAAAAGCAAAAGCATTCTTTCATTCTTTCATTTGAATGTAGATATATCTTGTTTCAGCTTGAGCAACTCTCTTCTCTCCTGCTTGCCTTTGATCAATTTCATCTCCTGTGAGATGCGGGATGCGGGATGCAGGATGCAGAATGCAGAATGCAGGGAACAGGGAATGAATGCATATCAGGGATTATCCATCTCTCTTGTAATTTTATTTTTGTTATTTTATTTTTTTGGGTTTTACAGGGTACATAGGAATACTCTGTACGTTTTTATTTCTTTCCACTGCCTTGCAGAAACTACAGCGTACACTCGATTGAACCCACGGACGTGGCATGCACGGCGGAAGATCGGCAGGCGGGGATGATATACAATGCATCCGTTTGACAGGATGTACGGAGTATATGCACGCAGATATTAATTATAATGATGACCCCCACCCTCACTCCCCACATCATTCCTCCGGGGGCACAACCTGTTGCTTCAGGGGACATGTTTGGTCACGGAAAACCACCCCAAATCGGATTAACCTGCATCGGAATCGGAACGGGGATTCCGTCTGAAAATACATCGCTCCACAGAAGTGTTGGCAACCCCGATCAAAATCTACACCTATTCAAGTAGTGAGAGGATATTAATTATTAACAAGCCCCCCTAGGGCCTCTACCACTTCCCACCCTCTCCCCTTTCACCCCCCTACCCCCCTCTACCCACCACCACCACCTCTACCGCCCCCTATCACTCTCTCCCTCTACAACCCTCTTCCACCCCGTATCACCCCTACCAACCCCTATCACCTCTATCACTCCTATCACCCCTTTCACCCCTTTCATCTCTTCCATTTCTTTCACCTCTTCCACTCTCTACTCTCTCTACTGCCTCTATTACCCTCCCCCTCTATCACTCTCTTTCACCTAGACTGACCGTGTGACCGTGTCTGGGACCAGGACCAAACTTTACAGTTGTCATGTTGTCTAAAAGCATTACTTCTGATCATGATTTGTATTCATCACATTGATCTCAAATTTCATTATTTTAAATATTAAAGATCTCAGATTCACTTTTCAAATAAAAATCTAGTTTCAGATAAAGAATATGTTTGAATTCTTAGTCACATTTTCATTCTGATCTCATTATTGAAAATGATATTAAATAAGACTATGAAATCATTTCTTACTTACATAATATCATAATATAGTACTCATTTATTGAAAATTCAATAGAGAGTGTTATTAAATATTATTACTTTTCTAAACACAGATTATAATTAATATCATTTTAATTAAAAAAAAATGTAAAATATAAAAAATAATAAAAAAATAAAAAATAAAATAACAAGAAAAAATCACAATAAAAAAAAAAGAGAAAGAAAAAAAGAAGAGAAAGAAAAAAAGAGATAGAAAGAGAAAAAAAAATAAAAAAAAAGAAAAGAAAAAAAAAAAAAAGAAAAAAAAAAAATAAAAAAAAATCAAGATTACAGAGTTACAGTACTTTTAAAATACTTACTTCTCAGAGTCTTTATAATATTTATTATTAATTATGTATTTCTCATAGTGAGAATAACACAGTTGTGATAAGTTATTATCTTAATATTATCTAATAAATAATCAGTATATATCTATATAAATATTAATAATTAGAAAATATACATTTAAAAAGTATGATCAGAGTGAACTCTGCTGCTACTTAAATAATATCAAGAATAGAATACTGAAATCAATGATTTCTCTTATTAATTTCACAGATAAGATATATAAAGATAATCTTGAGAAATATAAGATCTTCTAACTTCTGATAGAAATGAATCTCATAAAGAGACTCTATTTTTATTATATCAGAGA